ATGTTTCATAAATTCCTATTACCAAAAAGTTTTAGTTTGAATATTTCAAAACTCGTAAATATCGAAAAAATTGGGCCTTATTGACCTTAACTTGGACCATGCCTATAGTCTTCAAAAATTGATTATTTTTAACAAAATTATCTCAACAATTTCAAAAAACAGAATTTTGAGTTTATCATAACCCCCTCTTGTAATTCGGTATATCTCGTTGGGAACTAGGTTGCAAGTGGTTGCAAATAGGTTGCTAAATATTGGCGAAGATCCGGAGTTGATCGTAGGAGATCAATTTCTTATCATTTAAAACGTTGGTAAATTTTTTAATCAATATTTTTTTTTATATGTATTGAACTATCACATATTATACAATTTAGTGGTATTTTTTTTATAAAAAAATGTATTGTCATTCACAAGAAAAAAATCACTGATTTTATCAGTATGTCCTACAGATCAATAACCAGAATTCGTAATTAAAAATGCCATAGAACTATGTCGTGTGAAACTAAAAATGAAACATACTTATTTTAATTTATAAGTAATAATACATACATATATATTATATATAAAAATAATTAATACTTATGTATGAAAATCATCTTTTTGTTTTGTTTGTTAAACCAGATTTACAATTATTTACAATTAATTTACAAAATGTTGACACCAGTTTGGAGTCAATTCGTTAAACTCGGAGGGCTCTGTGAATTTGGCCCCCAAAAAAGTATTTTGGTAAAACGTGTAGGAAAAACGATTTACAAATTCTGAAAACTAATTTACAAAAGTTTGACGCTATTTGTTTTTATTTGTCAATTCTATCATTCTGTAAGTTTTCAACATGGTTGTTAAGTTTAAAATATGTATAACTGAAATTATTTTAGGGAGCCGGTCGATAATGAAAATCTGCTTTTCTTATTAACATGTATATACTTTACTATTTAAATGAGTACTTCATGTATTGATCGGCGAATATATACTCTGAAGTAGTATTATAAGCATGTTTTTTAAAATTTTGTTTAAATAAGTTCGGTTAGGTATAAAAACGTAAAAATTCAGAAGATTAATGATTTGTATGAGTAATATTTTTAATGAGTTTAAAACACAAAAGAAAAATATAAAACATCAGACTTCTTTAGATTTGTTTTGGAGGTACTTAAAACTTTTGCGGGAAAGAAAAAAAGGAAAACTATAAGTAAAACATAAGAGCATCGTTGTTTTTCCTAATTCATAAAACAATGCATTCTATTGCCTTTAGCAATTTGTTTCGTTTTAACTTTGACGTGAAGCTCAAAAAATATTAGTTTTACTATAATATGTCTTCAATGTTTGTGTTTATCGTTTATAGATACAATAATTGTTTAACCCACGTCGGTCGTTTTCTTCTTATAGTCATTTCTTGTAACATTTGTTTTTAACCGTAATATATGTACATCTGAATGAATCGATGCGACATCTAAGGGAGAAAAACTATGATATATTTTTACAAACTGCATTAATAGTTTACAGCTTTGCTGTCATATTATAGTTTTGCATACTTGTACTATGTTATATGCGTATAAATATATATTTAATGTGTTTTATCTGGCTATTAAAATAACACAGTTACCGAACAAGGAGATTAGCACTATTTTAATTAGGTATTGTAATGTTTTCAGAAAAAACACCCGTGTGATTTTATTTTATTTTAATTATCCCTATTGACTGATTTTCGATTTTCAGGGGCTAATCAGTGTTTATTTTGCTTTGCTTTGTGCGTGTGTGAATGTTTTCAAAGACTAGCACATTGTATATATGTATATTTCAGGGCTTATCCCACAAGACGATGCGACGGTGTGGTCGTCGCCGTCGGTACGAATTTTGAGTATTTTTAGGTCTATATATTTTTGGACGCAGTGTACGTACGCGTGTACTGTACAGGGCGTTTTTATTATAATACGCCGCTTCTGGGTTCCAACACGTGACGACTGGTAGTCAGTGCTGCACTACCATAAGGAACACGCCACCACGGTCGCCGTCAACATCTGGTCGAGATAGAAGCGGGTGAAAAAAAAAATATATATACATATACATATACACGTGTATCGTTCCTGTTTGGAGATACGGAAAGAATAAAAAGGATAATGGACTCGGTGATGAAAAGAAGGGATCGCCGTGAATGAACATACAAACCAGTTTCCCATACAACAGTACCCGCGGGCCAAAAATGTCATTTGGATTTTTTGATGGAAATTCGCCCTTTTTACGGACCTCCATTGTGCCGGTGCCGGTCAGCCTAGAAAAAAAAAACTAGTAAAAAAGAGGTTGCACTTGGGTCGAAAATATCGAATTCCTCGTTGCCCGTGGTCGTTATCGTTCACGCGGATTGTATCCACATTTTGTTTTTTTTTTTTTCCTCTAAACTACCCGCTAATTTTATCATATCAGACGGAAGCCACTCGGCAAAGGAGGGTGAGAAAATAATCATGCGAATGGTGTCTCGAACTGATCGATTGTATTAAAAAATTTGTTTAGCTATAGGAACGACCGATACCAACAACTTAAGTAGTAATTTTCTTACTTCACTTTAGTTAACCAACAATAATCAAAAGTAATAAACTCACTGTAAATAGTGAAAATACGATTTTTCACAAATTTAGAATTTGCAAAGTCGCTGTTCATAATGTTGTTGGATATATTTGTTAATTATGTTGAAAATAAAATATGTAGGTATTAATTTTAATTTTTAATAACGGATTCGCTTGTGTAAAAAACATTTTTTTTTTTTTTTTAAACGGTCTGCCTGAATAAACGTGTTAATTTAATGGTAACTATGTAAAGGACATTAAACATTTAAAGTAATATATTATATAATGATATTTCCAGACTTGGTATAATAATTATTATTTTTTGTATTATGTATGTATATATATTACATTATTATCATAATAAAACCATTCCGGTAGTAAATGATGGATTTCACTTTTTCTGTGATGTGTGATAAGTGAATATTATGTTTTCCGTGTTCATTTTTATCAGTCCATACCTAGTGACGGTCGATTACATGTCCCAAAAAAACGTAGCGATATATATATATATAGCGAGAGAGAGAGAGATAACATTTTTTTTTTATGTTTTCCTAATGAAAACAATCAACTATGTATATCGAGAGCGTTTTGGGTGTAGAATGTTTATTGCAGGTCTTGTATGACGTATCCAGCCACGCTCAGTGTCAAAATATGTTGTTTCTTGTCCACCCCCGAAGTCCAGCGTTGAACCAGTTACTATTTGTAGAATTACTACGACTATTTGAAAAAAATAGCAGATTTAAAATCACCTGCTAACTAAGGATTGTCGTTGTCCATGAACAGACGACACGTTATGAGTCTGATGACACGTAATCGTTTCCGAAGAACAATACTAAACCAATCTTGTCCAAGTCAAAGTAGTCACACATTTGTGAGTTAGGTCAGTCCTACGAGTCTCCTATGTATGCTATGTCACCACGCTAAATGACAGTAATATTAAACAAAAAAGGATGTGCAACGACATATAACAATACAAAATAAGACAAAAAAAAAATTTTCAATCTAAAAAAAATAATTTAGGACTTTTTTGTGCTTGCGGCTCAGACATTTTTACCGAATTTCCAATTGACACCACAACGTTGAATTGTTTAGCTGCGCGTTTCTCGAAAGTACCGAAAACGGATTTGTTGTTATTATGATTTTTTTCTCTCTTTAGAAACGTCATGTGGACGCCAAATGTTTGTAAATAGTCTCGTGAGGACATTTTCGGGACAAGTGTTTCCCAGAGTATCGTCGCCGTTGTTTATTATAATACTAGTATATACTAGGTATATACTATATGGCGAAATCATAAATTGTCCCTTGAAAAGTATTTTATAATACAGAAAATCAAATTTAATAATTTGATTATAATAATTATATAAATTATAAATATATTATATTAAAACTACTATAAAATGTTCATCCCCTCCCCTTCAAAACCGTTCTTAAAATGTACACAGCTTTAAATTACATCATTCCGTAACCTTTTTAATAACAGTCAAATAAGTTCCAAAATTTTGCAGAATATTCTTTAGACATTTAATACTTTCGATTTACAGTCAAGACATATTTTTCTAAAAGGGAATACCTTTTCTTTATTTTTTTTTAGCCGTAGTTTTTGAACTTGAGGTCTGAAAATTTTACTTAGGATAAATCTATTGTGGCACTATATAGAAATTTACCTTTTTTTTTTGTAAAACCTGTAGTCAATTTTCGGTACCTATTAAGGAAAAACTAAAGGTAATAAAATAAAAACATAACTATTAACACAATTCTTTCAAGCTATTACAATTATTACAAAAAACAAATCACACGATTACAAATATATTAATTGTATGTAAAATTATTCGTTCCTATATTTATAGTTTTTACCATCAGCAAAGCTTTTATTTAAATGTGATCTTCCAATAATTCTTATGACTTGTGGTCTCTTCGACCCCAATACACTTCGTTCCCACAATAAAAATGGAAATTTTAAAACTACCCTTCGTACTCACTTACAGGTATTTTTTTAATTTAACGGGCATTAAAGCCCAATAGTGCCCAACAGCCCGGAGTTAACAAAACTCCCCCAGTTTTGTTAACAATTTGTTCACCGGGACGGTTTATTAGTTCGTCGGTCTCCGAGTAGGCTTCTAGTAAATCGTATGCATTACAAACCACTAAGTATAGATATTGGTTTATCACATATTTGTATCGTGAAAAATAAAATTCCGAAAAATCATGGTCGACCGAGTACACGTTTTGCGATTTTTGAAAATTCGAATTCGCCCGTGCGAGTTGTCGTTTTGCCGGGCCGTTTCACCTCGCCGGACCGGTTTAAGGACCACTGGCTGGCGGCTGCGGCGGCGGCGGCCGTCGTGCCCAGCGACATGTGTGTGTGTGCGTGCCTTGTCCATGGACGGCGGCGCGTACATGCGAGGGATGAGCGCGTTACACATGTTATTATCATCGCCGGCACGGTCGGCGCAGCATCACCGCGCGTATACTATGTTAGACGTCCGTTGTCCATACACAGCAGTCGTACATCAGTTCGGCCGCCCGTGAAAATGACGCATGCCATCACCGCCGTCGTCGGCGGCCTGTTATGGTGGGCCCTGTTGCTGGCCGGCCCGGCCCGACCGGAAGTGCTCACGCCGCCGTACTTTAACTTGGCCGAGGGCCGCCGGATCACGGCGACGGCCACATGCGGCGAAGGCCTACAGGGCCCGGAGCTCTACTGCAAGCTGGTGGGCGCCAACTCGGAGCGCAACGTGGACTACGAGGGAAATCTCGTCATCCAGGGACAGGTGAGCACAAAGGCAACACCCATGTTATCTGCTAAAAAATGTACCGGAGTTGGGTTAGCCGGTCCGCTGCTAACTCAAATCCGCCACATTTGTAGTGGATAATACCATGGCCGATCGAACCGAGGGAGGATAGGAAAGGCGGTAACTAGAAACAGTGTCGAGACTTGGGTTCATTTTTTGGCGACCCGACTTCAGAAAACTAATTTTAGGCCATTAACTTAAGATAAGAATATATTGTTTGTATAATATTATTAATCACCCGACCGTGTCAGTGTTGGGCACAATAATCTATATTTTTGGTTAACTAAACTAATCTAATTACTAATCACCGTTAAATCAACATACATTGAAATCATTTAGTCGTGACTAAAGGTGGATTTAAACGTTCAGTTAAACTTAATGGTATATTTGTGCAGTCGGTTTGCGCAAATGGACTAAGTAAAATATTTCAGATTCTAGACCCGTTCAGTCTTTTAGTTTTTTTTTTTTGTTCAGATCTAATTCTACACCCGCGACATCCGCTTACACTCATCGAAAACAATGCGATGATTATACGGTTTTTATTTACACGCTTAGTTAGCTTACACAGTTTAACTGAATGTATAACCCACCTTTTAATGGGAATAAAAAAGTTGTCAAGCCCGCTCAGAAATGAGTCGTTTTGTGATCGAATTGAAACATTTTATAGTCTTAGTAGAGGAGACTTAATCGTAATCGTTAAACGTCAATTTAATTTTAATTTTCCAACACTAAATTGAGCATTAAGTGGACTAGATAAGAAGAATAAGACAAATTTAGGACAACTTAAAATAGTGTCTCGCACAGCTTTTAACTAAATTAATCATATTTGAATATTGAATGAATACTGAGCCGTATATTGGGTGATTGTTATTGCACTGAATTTATGTACAATATTCACAAATATGTTCAATTATTTGCTGGCATTTGAGCCAGTTAGCCAAATCCATTTTCAAGTTTATTGTAACTAAAGTACAGTACAGTAAATTATAGTATGAATAATTTTTCTCTAATGGTTGGGATCAGAAAGGACCTATCACGTGCTGGACAGTAACGATATATGCCTGTCCAGAATGTGTATTTTTTTCACAAGTCGCATAAAGCAGGTCTGAATCGTCTACTTAAAACTGTAACATAATATGTCTTTACAAATGTATAGTACAAATGTATTTATTGAAATAAGAAAAATGTAGTTTATGTTTTATTTGTTCACGGTTAAAGGCGTTGTGCCCAGTACTGTCGTCGGTCGAAGGTCCTGTGTTTTCTCTTAAGCTCTATACTATGTTGCCTATTGTTTATCCCACACTGAGCTATTATCGTACGGTTGCTCTTTACGATTTATGTTTATTGCAATAATCACAGTTTTGATCTGTCATTTCAGCATTAAATTAATAACGACATGTAAGTTAAATAGGAAATCTGTCTCGTTTTATGTAAATATTTAACAAATAAAATGAGTGTTTTGAAATGACAAAAAAACATGCTTCTGTTTAATCAAGGAACTAACGTTTCGGACGACGGGTTTTAAAAATATTATTACCTACCCTTGTCGTACACAATGTATACACCTACTTTCGTTGTCAATTTGCCCCTTTTAAGCGGGCGTTTCCGTTCCCCTTATTTACGCCCACGTCGATTTTTAGTCTATTATTAATTATTGTAACGTGATAATTATGATTTATGGCACAGCCTTTTATTTTTTTCCTACAGTGTCAAAATGTTTTTGAATATTTTACATTAAAAATTCTCATTAAAAGTCAACGGCCGCCGCGGGTATTGAAAGGCTTTCAGTGCTAATGTGATTTATCGACGTGGAAGCGAAATGTTTCTTTAATATTTTTTTTTTACCCTCTCCTTTGTTAGAGCTACATTTTTATAAATTAGTATCATGTTCTTATAAAATTGGTATACACAGTTGTAGTTTAAGGCATGCATGGTTTCGCACTTGTACGTGAAAAAGATTCGCTAATTTTTTTTATCGCTTGACTATCAAATATAATATAGTAAAAGTAATCTGAAGAATGCTAACTCATGTGTTATAATATTTATTGGCCACATGAGTAAAACTAAATCAAACTAACCGTTGAGCTACAAGTCAATATGGAATCATCAGCACACGCCTAATCAACACAATAATAAATATATTACAGCTTACTCGACGGTTCATTGAAGGATGTGAACTGGAGGGTCATTGGTTTCATTGATAAAAAACATAATGTGTAGTATGATATCCGAAATATGTAAAAACTCGAAGTACGTTTATCGCCAGTTGGCCGTGTACTATTTGTATTACATTCAACATCAGTGCCTAAAAATATTAACGCTATTGCTCGGAACTATTAAAAATGAAAAGCTAATTAATATTTTTTTTTTTTTTTGTTAAGTAGAAGTTTTGGTATTATCTTTCTGATAGAAATTTGTATTGTTAATTTTGAATGAACATGAGCTTAGTCAATTACTCTTACCTCCAGATAATTAGAGAATAGTCAATTATTAAATTGATTTTGTACAACAACAAACTAATGTTAAAGTGTAATTTTGTTTTTAATAAACTATGTAAACATTTAAAGCTTTTATAACTTTAAACAATTAAAAATAATAATGTTTTATTTAAAATATGTAATTATGTTGATAGAACATGCTTACATGTTCTTAAAAATTTCCAACAAACCCTATATATATTTTTTTTTAAATAATAGTTAACCTTTTCTTTCGATTTGTTCTTTATTTGCTTTGTAGTGTATAAACCAGACGGTCCTGTTAATGGATATTAAATTATATCTTGATTCTAAACACTTGAAAGTCGAAGTGGATAACTTGTTCAATCCTCTTTGAGTCATTATTTTAGTTCACCCTTATACGTTCACTATTAAACATCTAGCTTTATAGCTCCTTCCTTATTTATTTTTATACATTTTTCTGTTTAATCTAAGCACATCCTTGCAAAATTACACAATAGTCACAGACCATCTAAAATATCAAGTTGTCAAATATATATATATATATATATTACTGAGAGTATTTTAAAATTAAACATACAAAATTCTCGAAAACATAATTTTAGAAATCCAATTCTTTAAAAACGTATTTTCAAAATACAAAACCTAGATTTCTTATATTGCTTAAAATTATGTCCGACTCTGTCGACAACGTGAATTTATATTGTTACAAATGACAACGTAATTAAAAAAAAAACAAATAAACAAACCACTGTTTTTGTTTAGGTATGCGATCACTGCGACATTAGTCGACCGGACAAGTCACATCCTCCGGAATATGCGGTGGACGGTCAAGAAACTTGGTGGCAAAGTCCTCCGTTGTCCAGAGGCATGAAGTACAACGAGATAAACTTGACGATAGATTTAGGACAGGTGACTATTAGTTTCAATACGTTCTCTTTTTTATAATACTGGATAAATAGCAATGAATAAAAACCAATATCGATTTTAATTCTTTGAGTAAAAAGGTATCCAAATGAAACGGGTATGATGTGTTTAAACTCTTTAACGCTGAAAACGCGCTAACCAAAAATATCGATAGATGTCCTCTATATATATATATATATATATACCTTTATTGAAACGTCCCTATGTTATAGTTCTAGTACCCATTGTCCGTTTAAAATTTAATTAGCGCACCTTGGGATGAGTACACAAGTACGGTATTAATGTTCTGAAAAGTGAAAACCAAAATCGGCGCGCAATGTGGTGGTAACCGGGTCACGGGCTCGTTTCTGCCGGACCCGTAGAAAAAACTACTAGTCATGAGAGAACATTGTAATTTTCCTATATATTGCCCACACAGCGTCCAGGTAGAGTTGCAAGATCAAAAGGTCACGCGTGGCTATCACAACCAAACGGTTGCCACGATGGCGGGGTTCAACATCCTATCAACCAGATAAGATAATGATGAAAAAACTCCATCGTGTCGGCCTACGTGAAATTGATTTCCCGCTGTCTACAAATTGCGGAAACGCGACCATAGTACCATACGTCGACTTTCCAAAATTGTAATTTGACAAGAAAACCATTTTTTTCGTTAAAACGACAAATATAAACATTAACGGTTAGGTTAGGTTATCATCAAAATGAATTTTACCTAATCGTTTTCGATTAACCCGCTGAATTACGTAGAAATAATTTATTGTTTTCAATAAATACATAATATTACAGTGTATATGCGAGTGTGTGGTGTAATATTACTATTGTATGTGTTAAAAAAAAATGATTTATCAGTTATACTTCCGCCGGACGATTAATAAACCGTTGAGCGATAATGTACCGTTAATATACGTATATTAAAAATTAAAAAAACATCCAAAATCATTACACACAATGTTAAAAAAAAAAACTCAATACGAGTTTAGAGTGCAAAACTTTATTGTTTTGCAATTTATCGTGTAAATTTTATACAATAATATATAAATAATAATGTCATAATAAATTCATATAATGAATTCACATAAATGTCATATTAATACAATTAGTACAGTTACGATTGTCACGCACTAATTATTTATAAAATTATGTATATTGACATCTTTATAATATTCAGTCAATTATAGTACAGTAACTAGTATAGTTTAATAATAATAAAAAAATACAGTATGGATAAATTTTTAAGTAATAAACATTAATAATACTTGGTTATAGCTTTTACTACAATTCTTAGGAAAACAATTTAGGGCGCTTGAGCGGCTCACGCAGAATAACTTTAAGAAAAAATCCTACGTAATCTCCTAAATGACCTTTAACACATTTTACAATGTTTCTAATAGCCACGGTTTACTCATACTTTATAGGTGTATAAGCTGTGTAGTATAATTTTAATAACATCATTGTATAATGCATATAAATTCAATAGGAATTCCACGTGGCCTATGTTGTGGTAAAAATGGGTAATTCACCCCGTCCTGGTGTTTGGGTTCTTGAAAGATCGGCAGATTATGGTCAGACCTATACGCCATGGCAATACTTTGCTGACACTGTTGGGTGAGTATGCGAGTCTTAGTCTCGTTGGAATCAACGGTATAAAACGAATTTCAACGGTCGTTTTTGCCCACAGGGACTGCGAAGCGTTTTTTGGCAAGGACAGTATTAGGCCCATCTCGTCGGATGATTCGGTTATCTGTGACACGGCTTTCTCGAAAATCGTGCCGCTGGAAAACGGCGAAGTGAGTCGGACACGAAATCATAACCCGAAATGGATTTGTATTACAGCTGACATTTTTGGTTTTAGATTTTTGTAAAACTCTTGTCGAACCGACCGTCGGCCAATAATTTTTTTAACTCATACGCTCTACAAGAGTTCACCAGAGCTACTAACGTACGGTTTCGATTGCTCAGAGTGAAAAACTTACTTGGCCATCTCATGCCCGTCGCCCGACAAGATCCCACCACCACCAGAAGGGTAAGCGAGCACCTTCGATGACCGGCTGACCCGTGTAGTTACGCTGGGTACTATTTAGCATTATTGTTATTTGTTTTTTTTTTCCGCGCAGTACTTTTACTCCATCAAAGACGTGAGCATCGGAGGCCGGTGCCGTTGCAACGGTCACGCCGACCTTTGCGACATAACCGACCCAACCGATCCGTACAAGCTCATATGCCGTTGCAAGCACAACACTTGTGGCCACAACTGCGAGCAATGCTGTCCCGGTTTCGAGCAGAAAGCCTGGAGTCAATCGAAATACGACAAACTCTTTCAGTGTGAACGTGAGTAGTAGTGATCTGTCATCGACAGCTAACAGCAATAAAGAAAACCAATGTTGTTGTCTGCAGCTTGTAACTGTTTTGGCCATTCGGAGACTTGTACGTACGATAACGCTACGGACACCGCTCATCTGTCCATCGACATCTACGGCAAGTACGAAGGAGGTGGTGTATGCCAAAACTGTCGCGATCACACGACTGGCGTGAATTGCGACAAATGTGTGCACGGGCACTACAGACCCGTAGGAAAAGCGTTGAACGAGACGGACGTATGCCAACGTAAGTGTCAAACCAAAAACTCGTCATTAGAGGATAAGGAGAGGTGCAAGGTGTACATTTGCATCAAGTATATAATGACTAGTTTGCAAGCATTACAGTAAGCGCCGATACGAGCGTCTAGCAACGATTAAAAATTGGCATAAACAATATAAGAACTCAAATGACGCACTTGACCGAACCTCCTCCGCATTCCTCATCAATCATTAATCTATTCCCTTTAACATATCTTTTTGTTTGCAGCTTGTAATTGCGACGTCTTTTACTCGACCGGCAACTGTTCGGAAGGATTTGGAAAATGTGAATGTAAAGCTGCTTATGCCTCACCAGATTGTAATAGCTGCAGCGAAGGGTATTACGGCTATCCCGAATGCAAGCCCTGTGAGTGTTTCCCGGACGGTACTCGGGGCAAACAGTGCGAGAACAACGGAGGAACGTGTCCGTGTAAACAAAATTTCGGCGGTCAGTTCTGTTATCAATGTGCTGAGGGTTTCTACAACTTCCCCGAGTGCAAACGTAAGTCATCCGTGTCATCGTATGTAATTTCTGGATGATGTAGTTTAAACTCGATTCGATTGCCAATTATAGCTTGTCAGTGTAACGAAGAAGGTTCTAAAAATGCTATATGTGACCAAAAAACCGGACAGTGCGCGTGTCTTAGTAGATACGGAAACCAGTCATGCGACCAGTGCAACCATGGTTACTTCGGGTTTCCATCTTGCTCTTGTAAGTGACCCCATTAGAACCCTGGGAATTAATCGCAGGTATAATCCGAATGGAGGAAATTTACTTGTGTGCTTTTCAGATTGCAACTGTGATTCGATCGGTTCGTTGCCAGAAGTGTGTAATAAAATCAATGGGCAGTGCATGTGCAAAGAAGGTTATGCAGGTCCGAGATGTGACAAGTGCTTACCCGGTTATAACGGCTATCCTGACTGCAAACCTTGTGGCTGTTCGGAACGCGGAAGCGCTTCATCCATTTGTGACGCGTCTGGAAAGTGCCCGTGCCTGCCGAGTTTTGCTGGCAGGTCCTGCGAACAATGTAGTCCAGGCTTTTATCAATATCCCGAGTGCAAATGTAAGGCTTAAAAGTATAACATCATATTGTTTATTTTGTATTTTACATTTGCGGTAAATAAAGGTAACACAATAATCACGTTTTAACAGTTTGTGACTGCAACAGCCAAGGTTCGATAGGTGTTTCTTGCGACAATGAAGGCAAGTGCAAGTGTAAGCCGAATTTCACGGGAACTAGATGTGACCAGTGTAAAGAAGGATTGTATAATTTCCCCATATGTGAAGGTAAGAAGGCGACAGTCATTCAGTGAATTTTAAAGCGACCGAATTCAATTGCATTACTTTGTTTGTTTCTATAGAATGTAACTGTGATCCGGCCGGCGTTCTCTCAACCTTTGCTGGTTGTGGGTCTTTACCATTGGGCGAATTATGTCAATGCAAACCCAGAGTAACAGGAAGAATATGTAACGAATGCCGAGAACTTTACTGGAACCTATTACCTACGAATCCGGATGGCTGTGAAGGTAAAACGCTAGTTTAATTTTCATTAAATCGGACGAAACTATAGTTTGTTATAATTCCAGAATGTGATTGCTTCATGCCTGGAGTTCTCAGTGGAGTAGGCGTTTGCAATCCAAAATCAGGACAATGCGTGTGTAAACCTTCGGCTACGTCGAGGAGATGTGACGAGTGTACCGAGGGCTTTTACAGTTTGGACGAAAACAGCTTGTTTGGCTGTACTGGTAAGTGATAAAATTGTAACAATTTCCATGCTGAATAACGATATCACGTTATTATTACAGAATGCGATTGCAACATCGGAGGATCAATAAACGAGAAATGCGATAAGACAACCGGGCAGTGTTTATGTCAGCCTAGGATCATCGGTAGAGCTTGTACTGAACCGATGCAAGCCCATTACTTCCCCACTTTACATCAGTTTTTGTACGAAGCCGAAGATGGTAGGACTCCAGCTTACACTCCAGTAAGATACGGATTCGACGAAGATCTATTTCCTGATTATTCTTGGAAGGGTTACGCCGTTTTCTCTCAGCTCCAAGTAAACACATTAAAAGTTTTGTACTGACTCGTTGATGTCTTTTTAATGGTCGTTATTTTTTTGATACAGAGTGAAATAGTGCACGAGCTCAACATTGACAAGCCGTCAATATACCGAATAGTTTTGAGATATGTTAATCCTAGTAATGAGACTATAGTCGGTCTGATATCTGTCACACCAGAAACGCCGAATAATATCAACGTCGAACAAAAGTTTATGGTAATTGGTTTTATTAACCCATTACAATGGAAACAAACCATCAAATTTGTGTTTTATTTTTTCTTAGGCACAATTGAAACCATCGAAAAGTCCATCTTTCGTGACTGTTTCCGGAGCTACCGGAAACATTCCCTCACCTTTTGTTATGAATCCTGGACGTTGGGCGGTAACGATTAAAATCGATCAGAGTCTATTTGTAGTAAGTAATACAGATCTAGATTAATTCTGAAATTATTTTCAAAAATAAATTGTTTACAAGTTTTCCAATTTTTAATTTTGTTTACAGGATTACTTTGTGATATTGCCCGCTGAATATTACGAAGGCAACATTCTTGTCGACAAAGTATTGAACCCGTGTGTCATCGATAACATAGAAGAGGGCCTTTGTCGTCACTTCGATTACCCGAGCATATCAAAATTCGATCAAATCAAAAGCACTATGGCAGTGACACTTGATGGAACGGAACCAATAGACTACTTTGACGATACTAAGGTAATTTTTTCTTGACTTTTTGTTCATTGTTACAGTACTAATGATTTGTATGTATCTTGTAGCAACTGGACGTGCTGGGCTTACCGAAATTGCCGATGATTTGTGAGACTCAACCGGAACTGAAATTAGAGCTAGTCACCAGTAATCCTGGACCGTACGTGCTTTTAGTAAACTACTTAACACCGTCATCCGTGCAAACTAAGGCGGACGTGGAGATCCAAGTTAATGACAAAATGAACTCGGGCAAAGTAATATTGTACGCCTGTCATCACACCACGCTGTGCAGACAGGCGGCTGTTGACGCATCAGGCAAGGTGGCGATATTTAATGTCAACAATTCAACTACTAAAGTGACGTTGAGTGGCGGTCAAGACCGTGGCCGAGTAGGCATCGAGTCCGTAGTGGCCGTGCCTCTAGAAAAATGGTCTTTGGATTACATCAACCCAAACCCATCGTGTGTTAAAAACAACGGAAAATGCATACAGTCTCTGTATCCAACACCACCGGATACAAAAAAAGTGGAATTCAAGTTGGGCAATGAGGGTCGTGTAGCCGCGTCAACCCCCAAAAACGTCTTTGATAATACCACAGCGTTGGTCGTGCTTGACAGTCATGACAGCATCATCGACCTTGCTGGCAAAGTACCCAGTCCCGGGCCCTATGTGTTCATCGTTCACTTTTATCAGCCTGATTATCCCGGTTAGTAGTAAACACAGTGGTATCTTATCAATTTCTTGAACCATAACTAATTTTATGTTTTAGCTTTTGAAATGAACGCATTAATCCATAACGGTCAAACGTATGAAGCTGTATTGCCTGTAAAACATTGCCCGTCTAACTCAGGGTGTCGATCCGTTATTAAACAGCCTAACGGCAACACTCAGTTCCATCTGACTGAAAACTTTTTGCTTACTCTAAAGGTAATTCAATTAGTTAATCGCAGCATAATTATTACATACGGCTTGAACGTTTTTAATGTTTACAGGAATTGAACCACGGAAGCGTTTGGTTAGAATACGTACTGGTTGTGCCGGCCCAAGAATACACTGAATCTATAACAAAAGAACAGCCTTTTGATTACACCGGTCTGTTTATTTCGAAGTGCGGCACCAATCACTTCTACATAAATACGTCGACTACAGGTATACTATTACACATTGAGCATATTAGCTATGTAAGCTCATGGCAACCACCTATATTGGTTAGACGCGTTGTCGTTACGGACAACTTTTTAATATATTGCGGTTTAATTGACTTTAGGCTTTTGTAAGGATGCTACGTTCTCACTAACTACTGCTTACAATAGCGGAGCTCTGTCATGTCTTTGCGACTCCGACGGTTCGCTGAGTTATGTTTGTGACCCCTACGGTGGTCAGTGTCAATGTCGATCAAACGTGATCGGGCGACGGTGTGACGCCTGTAAAACTGGTTACTTTGGATTCCCCGACTGCAAGTCGTGTAACTGTCCTTCGGTGGCTACTTGCGAGTCTACTACCGGAGAGTGTATATGTCCGCCAAGGGTTGTCGGTAAAAATTGTGACCAGTGCGAACCCATGACGTACGGATTTGATCCTATAATCGGTTGTGAAGAGTGCAAGTGCAACTATTTCGGAGTAGAGCAAGCAAACTTGCAGTGCGACTTGTTCAACGGGTCTTGCGAGTAAGTAATAAATATGGATAATTCTATTAAATGATTAAGTTTTTTTTTGTAAAATTTAAGACGTAATCGTTTACTTTTACACGAATTTCAGATGTAAACAGAACGTTGTCGGTCGTTCTTGTGACCACTGTCGCTCTGGCCATTGGTCGTTCCCACAGTGTTTGTTATGCGAATGCGATTACAGAGGAACGACGAATGAAATTTGTAACCAAGTAAATAGTTTTAACTTTTCTAAGAAGTATATCGAGATTTGCAATTTATTGTTTCGACTTCTTGTAGGTCACTGCAGAATGCTATTGTAAACCGAACGTTAACGGACAAGCGTGTGATCTGTGCAAAGACGGTACTTTCAACATCCAAGAAAAGAACGACGAAGGGTGCTCAAAATGTTTCTGTTTCGGTAAAACCACCCGGTGTCAAAGTTCAAACTTTTATAGGACTGAGGTGAGTATATCGTCAGTTAGCTCGACATCTACTCTCCCATAACCATTATCATATTGACGTCCGTGATTTCTTATAGATAACCGGAATGGAAAATTGGCTGCTTAAAACAATCAACATGACTACCAAACCGATAATGGTAGAAGCCGTGGAGTTGTCGCTAGAAAAAATTGAAGATCGTAATATCGGCGTCGATTTGACGGCCAAAGAACTTGAACGAAAAGTCACTTACTTCTCGGCTCCCAAAGAATACTTGGGCAATCAGTTGAAGTCTTATGGAGGCTTCCTTAATTATACGATACATTATACGACCAATCTTTTTGGTAGTGCCATCAGTGGCGCTGATGTTATATTGTACGGCCACGATACATATTTATATTACTTCTCTTTGGAGCAACCGGCGTCCAACACGTTGTTCCCGGGTTACGTTGAAATTGTGGAGCAAAACTTCATACTGTCCAATGGATTACCAACTACTAGGGAACAGATTATGCAAGTGCTACAAGATTTAAGCGCCATTTATATAAGAGCCACTTACTGGGAACCATCTGTAACAACGAGGTAAATTGTTACTTAAATGTTTTCTACTTTACTTTATCGACACATTAAGATTTGAACAGTTAATTATTTTTTGTTATAGAATTTCAAATATATCTTTGGATACCGCACAAGAAACGTATGTATCGTCTAAAGAACTCGCTTTGGCTGTTGAACAGTGTCAGTGTCCTCCTAACTACGTGGGATTGTCTTGCGAAGAATGTGCCGATGGTTACTACAGAGCACAGACTGGTCCATACGGTGGTTTTTGTGTCCCTTGCCAATGTAACGGTCATTCAAATAGCTGTGACAAAATTACCGGAGTGTGCGATGTAAGTCATATACTTGTATTGTATAACGTTTGTCGTCAATATTGTTAAAAGTCCAATCACTGTTGGTTGTGACTACCTACAAATTTATTTAAAGTGACAAACAAGGACAAGTCTGTCAACGTCACTGAAACATTACATATTAAAATAGTTGAAATAATATAAATTCCAGTTATAAGCAATTTGTTAAAAAAAATATAATATATAATTATAAAAAACCGATACAATTGAATAACATGTTTAGAACTGCAAACACAACACAACGGGCGAACACTGTGAAAAATGCGTTGTGGGACATCACGGTAACGCAACTGTTGGAACACCTTACGATTGTTTAATTTGCGCATGTCCCTTACCAATAGCGTCTAACAAGTAACTGACATAAATGCATACACGAACCATAAATATAAAATGAAAACGTGTAATCATATTGTGACTTGTTTTTTCAAGTTTTGCAACCGGATGTGAAGTCAGCCCGGATGGCAATGAAATAAGTTGCGATTGCCTCCCTGGATATTTCGGAGCAAGATGTGAATCTTGTAATGCCGGGTTTTATGGAAGCCCAGAAAGACCAGGTATTTTGTAACTCATTCGACCGTTATTGTTATCAATATTATAGATTTAAATTTTCGAAAAAATAATTTAACATGATATTGTTTGAATTCCGTTAAATTTAACATATTCAATTAATTCAAAGGTGAAATATGCAAGGAATGTCAATGTTCGGGTAACATCAACAAAAAAGATCCGGGATCGTGCGACTCCGTAACCGGAAGGTGTACGCGTTGTCTAAACAATACGTTTGGCGAGTCCTGTCAGTATTGTAGACCCGGATTTTTCGGAGACGCGATCAATCTGAAAGATTGTCAGGCGTGCGACTGTGACAAGTGTGGTATGGACAAGTGCAATAACATTAACGGCCAGTGTGTTTGTCATGCAAACGTGGAAGGCGAGAAGTGTGATCGGTGTTCTGTGAATCATTACGGTTTTGGCTCTTGCAAGGTAAGATAATTGAGTTAAAACGCGTCGCCATTGCTTACCTAACTAGTTCCTACTTGTTTATGACAAGAAATAATCGTTTAAAATTTTGCGTACTCAAGGGTTGCAAGCCGTGCAGTTGTGGGTTAGCGAGTGAAAGTTCTCAGTGTGACGAGAACACCGGAATGTGCAGGTGCAAACCCGGGGTCACTGGTAGGATGTGCGACCGTTGCAAGCCTGGATATTGGAACTATACTTCAGAAGGATGTATATGTAAGTATTTTGTTGACGATTATTGTAACTAATAAAATAATAATCACAAATGTGTTTTTGTTTTAGCATGTGGTTGTAATTCAGAATACAGTGTTGGTATTAGCTGCAGCCCATTGACTGGACTCTGCGAATGCTTGCCCGGTGTTATAGGAGATAAATGTGACCACTGTCCTCACCGATGGGTGTTAATACAGCCCGGGCCGAACGTGGATACTGTAGCGGGTGCCGGTTGCTTTGAATGTAATAATTGCACCCACGCACTTTTAGATGTCACTGACAGTCTATTCTCAAAACTGTATCCCATCTCTAAAGAATTCAAAGTAATTATACTATAATCGATCAAACATTTTTGTATACTCTTAATGCGTTAAATTAACTTTCTGTACTAATTGAACAATTTCCTTCTGGTGTTCGTAGACCGTAGAACTTGGACACTTCACAACTCAACGACTTTTACACATTAACAAAACGGTATTAGGACTGCGACCTAACATAACTAGTCTTGTATCGAGTAGTATCGATCCATTTTCACAGGATAAGTATTTGTCAGACTTCCAGAAAGACGTTGATAACTTGAACAGAAAGGTAAAATAATCAAGTAAACTCGTATTATATTAATTATTTTAACAAATGTTACATACAAATTGTTTTCGTAAAGGCACGATTAGCGTTGGCGGACTCGTTGAGTTTATCGTCCAAAGGAGGTATAACATTTAAAAATACGTTGCAAGTAAGACGTTTGTTGGACGAAGCAGTGGCTCAAACGAGTTCAGCCGTCACTGAAGTAACCAATTTGGCTCAAAGTTTACAAGAAGGAGCTGGTCCACAAATTGATATGGCGTTGAATGATGCACAAATGCTATTAAAGAAGATTAACGAAACACTCCCAAATACAGATGAAAAGTATGAAGAGATATTGGATGCACAGGAAAAAGCTGTCGATTTGCACGCAAAAATGACACAATTTGCATCGCCTTTGAAAACACCAGTTACACAAGTGGAATCACTTAAAAATAAAATGGAGTCGCTCACAAGTAAAATTGATGATATCACAAATTATGCAGCCATTGCCAGGGATAAAGCAGCTCAAACAGCGACAATAAACGACTATAATAGGTAGGTAACACTGTTGTTAAAAACAAACAAGTTCTACAAAAATAATTCAGTTTTGCCAATTAAATAAAAAATAATGATTGTTTTAGAGAGTCACTAATGAGACAAAACGACAGAACCAACACTTTGACGAAAATCAAAGATGAAGCGGACAACGCAATGGGAAACTTGACGAAGTTAACCAAAGAGGCTTCGAGTGATTTAGAAAAATCCAGACAAGCGTTCGCCAAATTGGGCATCGAAAACGAATCAATGAAAGCCACTAAAGCTAAAGTAGACGAGGCTATTCAAAAAGAAACAAAAGTTCTCGAAGAGTTACAAAGAGGCCTCACCAAAGCCAAAGAACATGCAAATAAATTAAAGGAACAGGTATTATTTGCGTTAAGTAATAGTAAATTTGTTATTTGTTAATTCTTATTTAGTTAATAATTACTGAAAATGTTAAGTTTTTTAAGTACATACCCAGGTAATAGGTAGTCACTTAATTTTTTATAGTACAAACATCATATTCAGTATAACAATGCTATTATCTTAATAACAAAATTGACCAATATTTAAAATATGAATAGGCTGATTCAATGGAATCGTTGATTAAAAGTTCAACGTCGGCATCTGAATCGGCAGTATTGGCAGCAAATTCTTACAAGAATATTGTAGCGGAAATAGAAAAGGCTTTAGCGGCTTCGAAGAACGCTAGTGCAGCTGCAGAAGATACCATTACCAAGGTAAGTAATATACAGACTAAAATGCGTGTATACCCCGCGTACTAAGTAAAGACAATATCTAAATTGTTTACTTTCTTGCTGTAATCTAGCCCTCTGACCATATTTACGTTATGTTATAGTATATTAGTGTATATATAATAATAAAAAATAAAAATATCGAAGAATCACATTTCTTACTTGCAGTCTGAAGGAATAGATGACCGAGTTGCTCTAGCCGAACAGAATTCCACAAAATTAGTGCAAGATGCTAGAAAAGCATTGGAAGACGTTCAAGGCGGTCTAGAAGAGTCATTAAAATCCGCCAAAGATCAGCTTATGAAAATAAACAATTCAAAAAAAGAAATTGACAATAAAGAAAATGAGATCTACAAGTAAATAGAACAGTATAAAATAATAGTAATAACTATACTATAATTTACATTATGTGTTATCGTTTATAGGCAATTAGAGCAAATAGTAGTATCAAACATAAAATCTGACAGTGATGTGGAAAAAGCAATAGATAAAGATAAAGAATCAAAAGTACTCGTTAATAATTTCAGCGAATTATCGCAAACACTACCGAACCACTTAATCGCTTCTCAGCAACTTAATAAAGATACGGAAAACGCAAAAAAAGACATTGATCAATCAAATAATCAATGTATGTATTTTTTTTTTTTATTTACATCCCAATAATTTATATATTACACTGTAATGACCTTATTATGATTTCAGTGGACATCGCTTTATCTCTTTTGCCCAACGCAATTGGCACTGTTGATCGTTTAAAAAACAAACCCGAAAAACTACAACAACAACAACAAAAAGTTAAAAATGATCTAGAATCCCTTCAGAAGAAAATTCTCAACTGTAGAGATATTGTTAATAGGTAATTGCTGAACTGATGTTTACGCGTACTTAATTACAGTTAAAACTCTTAACTAACAATGTTCATAAACGACTATTGTTTGACTTTAGGATAAAAGTAGGAGTTAGCTTAAAGAGGAATTCAACTTTCGAGCTTCGCAATCCTGACAATATAGCTCATCAAAGTATCAGCACACTGGCATCAATATATTTCAAAACGGACCAACCAAATGGTTTGATTTTTTACCTCGGAAACGAAGTGGGTACAAGTCGAAGGATGAGAAGAGCTAAAACGGTACACAACTTAAATCTAATGCAATTTTATATTATGATTTGTTTAAATTATTTGTTGAATATTAACAGGACGATTTTATGGCTTTGCAAATTCAAAATGGTTATTTGGTTTTATTAATAGACATCGGCTCTGGAACTATAACGGTCAGCAGTAGTAAAAAGGTATCAGATGACAAATGGTACAAAGCTACAGTCGAAAGGTTAGTTCTGGTTACTAAGATTTGGTCAGCTCATTTTAAGTTTCTATGGGAGATAATACGATATCTTTATATAATTCCAGAACCGGTAAAACGGTTAAGTTAGTTATCCACGAAGATCTGGGATCAGACAATAATCACATAGTAATCGCGGACCAGAAAGAAAGTATTCTTCCGGGAAATATGTCTATTTTGAACTTGAGCAAGGACCATTCAAAATTATACGTGGGAGGCTTGCCCTCTACGTTCCAAGCTCAGCCCGGCATCGTGGAACTATCTTTAGAAGGTCGTGTCGAAGAACTAATGCTCGGGAGCACAAACATTGGCCTATGGAACTTTGAATATTTTTCGGGTGTAAACAACGGATCTCTTGAAAGGTACTAATTTCGACCACTAAATGCAAGACTGAGCTTGTCGATTTGGGCACGCGTTTAATAAAATTTAAAAAACTGTTACGGTTCTAGGGACAAATTATTAAACGCGACCAATCCATCTGGTTATCGGATGAACGGTGAAGGTTTCGTCGTTTTGGAATCGAATCAGTATAAGATGAAATCCCTGAAGTCTCAGTCGTCCATCGTTCTGAGCATTAAGACCACGTCTGCAGACGGTTTGATATTTTTAGCTTTCAAAAACAATCATTACATGTCAATTGAACTGGAAAATGGTAACATCGTGTACAAAGTTGGTGTCGTTGACTGAAAACTCAAATTAATTTTATACGACTTTCTAAAACGGTTTTTTTATTGCAGCTAAATCTGGGCAGCGGACCGCTTGTTCTCACGTCCAAGCAAACGTACAACGATGACCAGTGGCATTCCATCGAGCTAACTAGAGATAAACAAGATTCTGTGCTTAAAGTCGACGGAGAGGAAGTGGCGTCGGGGTCTTGTCCAGGAGACGAAACCAACCTTGAGGTAAGTAAATAACGTTATCACAATTTTTGTTTCTTTGCTAACGTATTATTATTACTTAGATATCGGAACACTTGTACATCGGTGGATATCCAGGTCAGCACGGTATCGACCAAGTGACTAAGTACTACTACGACGGTTGTTTGGACCACGTACAAATCGACGACGACCAAGTGGATCTCAACAATAACGTTAACGCTTACGGTATAATTGCGGGATGTCCCGAAAAGGTAATGTTGATTTTTGTCTACAACGAATCGAGCAAGGCATTGAATTTCGTACGGGTTTTTCAGTTCACTAGCCTGGTCTCATTCGAACCCGGCAGTAGAGGATACGTCAAGTGGCCGAACGTCACTGCGTCCGACAATGTAATTGATCTTATACTGAGGTTCAAAACCAGCTACTCCGACGGGTTGTTGGTGTACGGAGTCAACGGGCCCGCCTTGTTTTCGTTGAGGATGGAAAACGGTATTCTAACGTTCAAAAGCGGCGGAGTCCATGTATCGTCCACGCAATCCACGAGATACGATGACGACCAATGGCACGTGGTGTTCGCGGGTCACACGCCACAAGGGCTCTCTCTGCTGGTGGACGACTACGACAACTTCCAGTGAGAACCGCAAAGGAATTCTTTTATGGCGCTTGGCGTTTTTGCTTAATACTATATTGTCTTCACTATTGCAGATCCGACCAACCGCCGAATCCGGTGAGGTTCTTGTACTCAAATTTCTACTTCGGTGGCGTTCCATCGGTAGTGGACGCGGCCGCGTCCATATCCCAGTCGTTTATCGGTTGCATCGGTGACGCGACTTTCAACGGGAAAATCATTAACTTTGCTCAACTGACAGAAGTTCCCGGGGCTACCGTGGGCAGATGCACGGGCCCTCCGTCTTCCGGTTTCAGACCACCGAAACGTAAATTACTTGCTAATACCTACCCTTGTTGAGAGTAGTCGCAAAAACGGTAGTTCTTTATAATATTTTTTTTAGGACTTGAAACTCCGGTCGATAAATATCCGGAAGTGACGATGGCGCCGACCCCGGCTCTACCCACTTTCGCCCCTGACGAAATAACCACAAAGCGTCCGTCCACATTATGCACGCTACCAGCGATACCACGCGACGATCCGGACGTTACCAAAGACAGCGGTTACAGATTCGGTATGAGTGTATTTTTTTTCGTTCTGTTAATTTTCTATTGACTGCAATTGTTGTCATGTTTTCGGTCTGTAGGAAACATGGTGGGTAGTAGGTTCGAATACGACGCGGTACTCATCAAGACCAAAAGCAATACGAACGAGATATCGGTAGACATTAAGACAACGAAAACCGAAGGTATTGTTTTCTTCGGTCGTCAATCCGAAGGCGGTGATGTGATAGCGGTGTTCCTGTCGGAAGGAAAAGTAAGAACCTATTGTCGAGGCGGCAGTGAACGCAAACATTAACTACTAACGTTTTGGTTTGTCTTTTAGGTCTATTACCACTGGAACTGCAATTCTGTACCCACAACGATCATCGCACAAATGACGGTAAACGACGGCGAATGGCACACGGTCAAATGGTCCAGGTCGAACACCAAAGCCGAGTTGCACGTCGACGGCATATTGGCTGAATCCAGTCCGGTCATAGCCGAATGTAAGTTAGATATAACACCACCGTTCTACTTTGGTGGTACCAACCCGATCGATTATGAAAGAGTCATTGCGCTTGTGGTAAGTACATAATATACAATAACTAACACCGATCCAGTTCGCGCGGATTACTTTCGGTCGTAATGTTAATCGGTAATTATGTTGCACAGGGAATGAACGAGACGTTTGAAGGGTGTTTGCGAAGATTCAAAGTGCATTCTAAAGATCTAGGTAGTCCCGACCGCAAGTTTGGCGTTTCCAAGTGTTCGGATAAGGTGGAAGAAGGCGCGTTCTTCTTCGCAAACGGCGGTTACATCAGACTGTGTAAGCGAGGCGTTTTATAATATTTTTTTTTTTTTTTATCAGCGTTGGATTATTTTACATCGACATCCGTATCGTGTTACAGTCGAAAAGTTCGTCGTTGGCAAAGAGATGGAGATTACCATGGAAATAAAACCCAGGAGCATCGACGGTATTTTAATGTCGGTGCAAACAACAAAAAAGAACTCGCTGTTGTTGGAAATGAAGAACGGAACCATATCGTTCTCGGTGGATGCCGGCAGAGGGCCGATTTCCGCATCGTTTACGCCGGCGTCTCCACACTTTTTGTGCGACGGACTGTGGCACACGATTAAAGGTACGTCGATACGATAGATAAAAAAAATATGCCAAAATGCGTTGTGCGACATGCGATTTTGTTTTCAGCGGTAAAACGTAAAAACGTCGCGCAACTGGGAGTGGACAATATGTTTTCTACGCCCGACCAATTTGGGCAAATAGGCACGGTCCCCACCAACGCCAAAGCGCTGTACGTCGGTGGCCATCCACTTCAAAAGCGCATCGGATCTTCCAGCAGGTATTTGGGGTGTATAAGGAACATCGAAGTGGTCGACCACACGTCCAAGAAGCATACGTTTAAGAAGTTCCCCACGCAGATGGTACAAGGCAACGTGACGCTAAGCGTCTGTCCGACCATTTAGAGTTACCATCCAATGTGCGCTGTACAAAATCAAACCGATTTATAAAGCAAAAACACCTAAATTATTATTGACATTTTATTGAATTACATTTTGTACATAATACTTTTATTTCACAATAATAAAAATAATATTTATACTATAATATATTTATATAAATGGTAATTTGTAATTCGTGTTTAAAATAAAAACAGATGATTTTTATTTATATTTATAAAAAAAAAACTATGTACAAAATATCCTTTAAGAGTGTAAGACTTTTTGTGCTACGTCGTTTTAGAGAAATTAATATTACATAATATTAATTATTAGATATTATATTCATTAATTCAAAATAATAAAATTAGAAAAACTATTTTTGTTTCATTTTTATTACTAGTCTCTGCTGTTAATAGTTATATCAAAGTTAATTGCTATATTTCTTAATCGCTTTTTTTTTCTTTCCGAAAATAGAAACATGATTCAACACTTAACTATTGATAGGTCCTTTTGTACTAAAACATTTTGTTTATAATATACATTTTCTATTTCGAGTGAAATGTATTTGTATTTCACATGTAATCAATTTAACATTATTCAGCGAGAAATCTAAGTATTGTGTAGACCAAACCTTATATAGTTCATTACACCGATGGAGTTACACGCTGTATAGAATTGATATATTAGACAAATGAAAATAATTTGAAATTTCTTCATGTATGGATTATTTATTATAAGGGCATTGCATGCGGTCTGTTTTTAAGGAGTTTTGTATAGGCAATATTTAAGAAAAAATAAGTTTTAATAAATTTCGACCGTGTCAATTGATTTACCGGTTATTTTGCATGAACCAAAAATGTGTCTCCTACATATAACCTATATAAGGTACCGGAGAACTCGTATATTTTCACAGAATTGAAATCGTACCACCCTAAGCAGTTAACATTTTGGTGAGGATTGTCTATTATTGAATGTAAAACTCCGTGTTGTTCGATGTGATTAAGTTTTAATCTTGGATTCTATTTCTGGAGATCTGGATTTGAAAATTGTTATTCTAACGGTTTTATCCGACTTTGGCTGTAGACATCGGTTATGTGAAAAGTGGTTAAGCGAAATTCGAGCTCGGCCGCGGGGGGCGTTTGTTTTTGCAAGGCGACCGATGGTATAAACGTTTTTTTTTTTTTTTTTTTGGCAACTGATCAAGTACGGATGTTGGCGTCGAAGGACGCGCAGAAGGGTATACTCACAGTGCCATTTTGTCCATCAAATCCGTCGTGAATGTATATCTGAAAAACTTATAGACTTGTGAAAAAAAAACACACACACACACACACACACAGTTTACAAAATACGCCGTACTATACACTACTTGGTGGTTCTCTCCGGTTAAACTTTCGCCGGCGTTAATTCTGTTGCTATTGGTATACTTGTTCACGGTTAAAGGTGAGTCTTTGTGTGTTCATGCTTTATAAACTACATCTATGTGATGCGTAAAAGTGCAAATCGTTTTGTTTTGCTTATTTCCCACAAACCGATTGTCGCGCGCCGGTGGCCGTCGCATCATTAACGCGTTTAAAACAATCAGAGTACATTTATTTTTATATTTTTTTTCTAATGACAATCATCTTCTTCCGCGTTCGTTATCGAGGTTTAAGTCGATTGGCGAATTTTTAACGTTTTTTTTTTTTGTACCTAACGTCGACCGCGCGCCGACGGATATTTCATTTGGCTGTTGTATTAATAGAGTCCACGCTAACACACACACACACAGCCAGTACGGTGACGACACCATATAGTGAGTATATGGTCGGCTATATAATATAATTTCGGATTTGCACCGAGCAGCGTTTGGCAAACTTTTCGGGTCAAGCGGATCTCAACCTCGTTTTTCTACATCCCATACACCGTCGCCGTCGTCGAAAGTTATACGTTTATTATTAAATAGGACAAAGGAGATAAAAAAAAAAAAAAAAAAAAACAAAGGTACGCTCTAATTGTTAAAAATAACCGAGACCGTGTTTGTCGTTTGGTATCGATTTTTTTTTTTTAATTTTAATAATGGTAAATAATTAAAAGGTAACCGGCGTCCGTCGACGGTTTTTGCATACTTAACGTGGTGGTCGTTTTGACATACCACAACGCTTTTGCCAGTCAATAGAATTATTGTGTATCGTACAAACCCATTGTTAAAACTGCAGCCGAAAACCACATCTTATGTTTTTTTTTTTTTAACAATCAACTTGTTATTAGGCCGATTTAAGGCAAATGTTTACCGGCCCGCTTATACTGTACTATAACTATGGATAATATTGAGCATTTTTTTTTTTTTATTTTGCTTGTTCGGTCATTTCTTGATATGACCTAACCTAAACAGTCTATTCTACCAATCTATGTTATGTATTAGACACCGAGTTGAACTTAGACTAGATGTAGTACTGACTAGTTGTACTTGACACTTAGTCAATACTAAAGTCTTTGACGATTTAGCCATATTGTATAATCAACCCATTCAGTTTAGACTATCAACTTTATAGGTGGATCTATAAAAACAACTTCGATCCAACTGCACTATTTGCCGATCTTGGATAATAAACACGATAGGAGTCGTAAAAGATGATAAGTGATAACTATTCTATAAAAAAAAAATTCTGAAACTTCAAAAATTTTAATTATAGTACAAATGTTATTAAATTGTTTAATATGGGGAAAAATATATTAATAACATTTTCACGGCCGTTTTAAAGTTTAATATTACAGCTTTTTTAGAAATATTGTATAAAGGACTTTAATAAATAGTTTTCCCCTTTAAAATCAATATTGGTCGACATTCTAGCGTACATAATGTACTTGTTTGGTATTAAAAATGAAAATGTATAATACAAACAACAAAAATAAAGTAAGATATAAAAACGCGTTAACCGGCAATTGCCGGATGTAATAAAATGGGTAATGTCAGTGGAAAATAAATCTTTTAACAAGTTGTTCAATAGAATTTCGTAAAAACTAATAAACCCAATAGAAAATGTATACTTTATTGATTCTGTCCGGTATGTACTGTATTTGTTTAACTAAACGTCTGAAGCTCATGCTATACCATTGTGTATTTATTTTTCTTGCTAGTCGCAGTTGAATGAATTACCGAGTTGAAAATCTTATGCCAAGATGGGCCGTGGGTTAGAAGGTATTTCAAAATGTATGTTGGTCGGAGAATAAAAAAAAATTGAAAAATTACTGCGGGGCGGTGTAAACGAAAACATACATTGAATATTTTTGAGGTGGATTCATTAGACTAGATAAGACTGGAAAATATTTGGAAGCGCAAATTCTTTTTACTAGGGTTTAGTCTTAGACTAGACTTAACTAACGTGATTTATTATTGTGTTCAATCTAGTCTACCGCCTATCTATCTTGCAATACATCATCAAAATAACAACTGAATCATATAGTCGACTACATAATATTAAAGCGTCACTTCATACTTTTAGAACTTTGAAAAATTACAATTATCTACATAAACGGGTACTCGTTATCAGTTTTTGTACATATATTGAATTTCGCTTAGAAAGATCATATATATTATATAAATAGATTTTTTTTTAATGCAAAATACAATTATATTGCTAACAACGTTTGCTCACTTAACTTTTTATAGCCGTTATATGCGTTAGAAAGTTATTTTGGGATTAACGTGATTTATTTCAAAAGAATCTTCTATGCACGCACTTGTATGCTATTTTATTTTGTTAATTGTAAGTCTTTAAGAGGAGCAGACATTTCGTCGCCGGAGCGGTCAAATCCTATGTATATTCAGAATTTATATTTTGTTCGAATTAAACCGTATTAATTATTATACACCATCAACCAAATTCTGAATAATATTACGTCTGGCCAAAAAATATAATATAGTTTATAATAAATTGGATAAAAGCGTAGCAACTCTGGAACATACACCGTTATTGTTGCCATATTTTTTTACGAGCCCGAGTACTATCGTTATCTTTTGTCGGTTTACCTCCCACGCCGGTTTTCTTATCCTACGTATAAACACAATTGTAACGGTAATAAATTGCATAAATTTGTAAAACACACAAGAATGCTGAACGCATTCAATTTAAATGCTTGTGTTTTTCGGCGTAAGTAACACTTATTATTGTTATGGTGTACACGTGCTGTGTAAAAAAAAAAAAACACTTTTGAGTTTCAAACGATGACTTTTTTTAGTAACGCCACTCGTCATAAAAAGTTTCAAAAGAGATTTTATTGTTATTTTATTGAACTAGGTATTTAGTTTCTACGGTATACTTAAAATAGTCATTCGGTGGTTATGACGTATAGGTAAACGTGTGGCTCAGAGTGTAAAAATAATCTCTAAATGATAAGTGTTCCGCGGTTAGAAAACACTCCGCGACTAACACAACATTAATTTATACGGACGTCATTACTTAAGTATGCGACACGTTTTGGGTCAACGAGCAAGCAGCTGATGTACTAGTTGTGCTTGGTGTCTCTAAAAATTCGCGTGGATACAGTTCAACCGATAACGGCCGAGTGACACAACTAGAGAATATGGGACTGTGGAAGTTCGGACCTTTTTAGAACCTTTCGCGCTTCCCCAAATTGTCTTGTTTCGGTTACCGACCATTTTTTGTAAACTCAGCCGACTGACTCAGCCGATGTGCACGCAAATTTTAGGCTAAAAACACAATATCCATTGTGCACTCTTGCCTACAACTGTTAAGAGTGACACTATCGTCCGAACGATGTACAAATAATCCATCTACGGCAAATCAATTCTGATGAATATACATGACCTGGGGTCGTGCAGACACAATTTGCCGACAACTCGATATTCCCATATACTCGATATTCCCATATATTTGCCTACGCTCAAATAAAGCGAGCGCGCTTTGTTACAGCGGCGTTTGCCGTTGTCAACAGCTATACGTACATTAATTTCAGCATTTAACATTTCGTTTGCAGCATGTCGGAAAGACGGACCCTGTTAAGTCGTCCCAGGACTCGGGTCTACGACTGCAACTACAACATTGGCGAGGGTTACTACAAGCCAATGATGGACCACTTGGACCGTAAGTACTACGGGTCGCCGTCGTCGGTTGCGCCGCCCAAGCCGATCAGCTCCTTCGGTACGGCTGCTTTCGACGATTACCAATCCCCTTCGCCGATCCGATCAAGGCGGGGATCAGACTCCAGGCTATCCATGCCCGACGACGATTTCGAACAAGAGGTAAATAATGCCGGCGAAATAGCCGACGTGTGATTTTTTGTTGGGTCAAACTATTCAACGACACATGCCACCAGAAGCTAAAAAGAATTGCAAACACAACAGGGATGAAATGTGTCGACCGGTAACCGAATGAAATACCGGTTTTAGATTTAAAACTGTAATTATAAACGTACAATATAACGTACACGCGGTGTTTTACTCGTTTACTCGGTATAGTAGTATGTATTTAATATTCGGTGATTATACACACATGCTTTATGCCATTATAGCCATGTTATATGCTTAATGTATTTGCATTTGGTTTTTCGTGCACTTTTTCAACGGTGGAATCGAATTAAATAATTAATTCGCATTAAAAACTAGATTAAGTATAATATATATTATATATTTTGCCACGTTTACGTGCCGTCGTTAATGGGCGTTATTATTAGTTTGACATGCGACATGTTAATCCCGGAGGTCAATTCAATTGGAGGAATCGAATTCATATTTAATCCACCTCGAACTAATGCGCATTAACTAGTGCGTACATATTTAATGCGAATTAACTATTTATATTTATTCATCGGGTCTATAGAATTATAGGATTGAATTAAATTCAGATCGGGAATTAAAAATTGCATTTAAACCCAAATGCTAATGCGCATTCGCTTAATTTGCACTGCCTGACAAATTACAAAAAAAAAAAAAACCAAAAGGCTCGAAAATGTAAAAATATACATAACATGTACGATTTATACAATTTATACATAGTTCACAAAACAAATATGTTTAATCATCGTTATAAATGTACAAAGTATAATATTATTGTTGTTATAAATTACAATATTAAGACATACGGCAATAATAATCAAATACCGCCATTAAACGTGCCGAGGCAAGAAAGTTGAACCTTTACGACGAGTAAGTCGATAGTACAGAGATTTAGCCGGTAGGAAAAATATAGTCTAATTTACACCTTGGAGTCGACCCAAATTTAAAGCATGTCAAATTGTATGAAAGTCCGATATGTATTTTTAACATCTTTTTCTGGCATTGTTTTTTTTCTAATTGCAGTACGTTGCCTACTTTATGAAGGCACGATATTGGTAGTTATAATAGATATCATCGACTCGGTGTTTAACATTTTACTCTTATTATATTTTCTGTTTAATAAAAGTTTCAAGCAAGGAAATTAGTCATAAAAACAAATCGCCTTTCCCAAGATGTTAAATAGCGTTATTAAAGTTTATACACCTCAGCACAAGGGATCAGCAATCACCTAGGGAAACACTTGTAATGTTTTTAATTTATTTAACCTTTTGCGAGTACGTAACCCATCAATTGTATATTATACTAGGTTAGGTGGTCTTGCTGGAAATTGTTTTCTACTTTGAAGGGAATAACGATTTTCTTATTCCGCGCATGCGTCACTAATAAAATTTGTATAGTACAATAGTGAATATACCATTTAATATTCTACGGGACTACCGTTATACCCGGAAGTGTTATTAATTCAAACGCCTTACACATAGATGAGCACATATTGTACCATTATTATTTATTTACCAATGCCGTATAGCGCCATAGTTAAATCATTATTGATGAAATTACTCTTGAAGGATAAAAAAGCACCGAGGTGGCATTATTGTTTCACGAAGCTTTTTTTTTATTATTAATAATAAATCATGATGAGCTGCCCAAGGTGTGTAGATGGGTAACTTATTTATATTATTTCACGTTGCAGTCTATTCCACGAATGGTGCCTGCATAAGACAGCTGTCTAGTTCTAGACCAATAATGCTAAATTAAAAGGTGTCGCTGTTTTTTTTTTATAAATTTCTCCTTTACTGTATATAAATTGGTAATACTGTTTGTAAAAATTGTACTTTTTAAAAGTTTGTGTAAAATAGCGTACGTCAAAATTAATATTAATATATACTCTTAAGTATAAAAAATTATTATAAATAAATACCGAATTCTTAATTAATATTATATACTATAAATATTAAAGATTTAAAATATTAAAGAATTGCTACTAGTCAAAACTGTCAGTTTCTAATTATTTTAAAAAGTACTAACTATATTCTAGAATTTCTTTTTAGTTTCTTATATGGTTGATACATACAAAACGTATGACCAGTAATAAATATTATAGTGTATGCAATTGCCAATAATTATTGTTGAATAAAACTCGATATTCATCTAAAACGTTCATTCAACTGAAATCCATATTCATTTATTTATTCAGTCACGCTCCAAAAGGCATGAGTACAGACATTATTAATAAACAATATTTTACAATTATAAACAATAATTACAAACGAGTAATTGTACAATTATTACGTACATATATCGAGAAATCAAAACAAATCTAGTGATAAATGTATTACTGTTAGTCAACATTCTATCAATTGTGTAGTTAATTGTTAATTGTGTAGTGTTTAGGAGGTGATTTAGTGATACCAAATCTTACTACGCAGTTAGCTAAAGCTGCTAAACCTATTATTGTGCAAAAATTAAATCTTGAGAGATGCACTTTTCTGAAGAACTGAACAATTTTAGCGTAAAAAACCCACGTGAACGCAATTTTGTGTTACAAAACTGATACTGACTAGTGACTGTGTAAGCTTATTTGTTTTTTTTTCGCAGGTTGCGGCTTTACGCAAGGCTCGCGCGGCCAAGGCGGCCGCCAGGACGGCGTCGCTTGAACGAGACTTCGAGTCGGCGTTCAACGGGTTCTCGTCGGACGGCAAGCCTAGGCCACGGCTTAACTATACGGAAAAATTGTTAGACTCGGTGGGCCTGAACAGCAAGTCGCAGGACGCGCTCGAAGAGGAAATCCTGAAGAAGCGGACCAAGTCGTTCTTCCAGGACGCGGACGAATTCGCGGCGGCGGCCGATCAGCAGGCCACAAACCGGTGGATCAAGGCCAAGAGGCACGACGACGCGGAGGAGCGGTTCACCGAGGAGACGGCGGCCAAGGCGAGGGCCCGCAAGTCTAAGGCCCGCCTATTGGACATCCAGAACGAGTTGGACGGCTTGGCCGACCGTGACGCGGCCCGTCAAAAAAGGTCGGCTGACCTCAGGGCGCTGTTTGCCGACAACGAGGCACTCACCGAGTCCGTTAGTTCGTCGTTCAAGAAGAAGTCATCGAAAAAAGTGTCCTTCTAAAAAAAATGTATTAAGTTTATCATTTCTCTATCACACATAGACATAAATTATCCACTCCTTAAGAGTTCGTCTCACCTGTACTCGGTCGCAATTACTCGGTAAAAAATAAATATATAAAATATGCAATGAAACCTCTATTAATCGAAACGCCTCTTCATTGAACACTATCAAAGTGTTCGGCAGAAACAATTACAAGTTTAAGATAAAGCCGATCATAAGCTAATTCAGTAATTAATATTTTATACCTTTATCGATGACGAATACTTTTCTAGGTTTCACTGTATTACATATTGTCCGTCGAATTCATCCGAACGTTCGTGTTGCCTATTTTCGACATGTGTGTTTAATTTATACGTAGTTTTTTATAGTATTAAATAATATATTATAAAAATATATTTTAAAAAGTTGACACTAATTATAATATCGAGCTGTTTGAATCCGCGTTATTATATTTTGTAAATATATTTATTATAATATATTAAGAACATATTGTTGTTGTCATCGAAAAACGTCCATAACACTATAATAGTATTGTGAAGTGATGTGTTTGGAAACTTCAATATTATTTTATCAATATAATATATTATATCAACTAGCGAACAAAACAAACAATATATATATTTGTATGAATAAAATCGCCAAATGCAGTACTAATCGCAGACGAGTATTCTTAAGAACAAGTCGTCAATTATATCTTATCCTTCTTCTCAGTCTAAATGAGGTTGTGTAATTACTTAGTAAGTTATTACAATTCGGTATGTGTAACGTTAGCTTTAAAGAGGTCAAATTATAGGCAATTGTTTTATGTATATTTGAATCATAATGCAGCAGATGACTTCAATCCTAATTCCTAGATATATAATAATTAACTATACTAGAAATGTATTAACTACCTACTAAGTTGCGTTTTTTTTTATTTGCAAAGAAATTCAAACTTAGTAAAGTTTTAACTTTTATCTTTTAATTTAATTTAACGTCCGTGAGCTCATGGCTGAATGGTTATGACTTTGATTAGAGTGAATGTTATTATAGTAACCGTTTATAACTAGTTAGCGTTGGATATGGATAAATATTTCTAATTACTACACAACTTTGATGTACATACTGAGCTGTATATATTAAGAGGCGGAAAAAGTCTTGACCCACCTTGTGAATAGTCATCAAGACCTTATTTAGCACTCGATTAGATGATTTAATTCTACTCTAGGAAACGGTAATGGGCGTCTGTGCTCGAGTAAAAGGTATATTGTACGTATAAATTCAAAACCATTTTACAGAAACAGTATTTATTGATTGATGGTATTATATATGCTTGAGTGTGTATTATATATACAACAGAGTATGTAGTATACGTCTATATCATTGTCTCGGCCGTTGGCTTTGGAGCTCAGATGTTTTGAGCGTGCAATCTGTCTTTGATGGTTGGTCTCGGCACTTCCAAGACGTTCGGGTTGCGTCCCAAAGTCGACACAGTCACCCTGCAACGTGAATGTAATTATAATGGCGTGTATTCGGTAAATTATATAAATTTAACGTACTATTGAACGTTTATAAAATTATATATAATGATTACAATATCATACAAGTCGATTTCGATACGCGTTAATAACTCGCTATGCTATTAACTCGGTGGCGTAGATTTGGCAATATTGTGTGGCAATAATATTACAGCTTTCTATACTTAGACCAAAACGGATCTGTTTCTCGTTTTACGACCGACGTTGGTATAAAACAGACGACCGATTTCCGTTATTGACCACAGAGTGACACTTGTAAGGTTTTCTAAATAACTCAATCCGATCATCGGCTATTGAGTCACGAGAAGTCCACGGTTTGCGAATCGGACCACGAGTGGTTTTTGCCATTAAGCGAAGTTATAAAATATTTTTCAAAAAAAAACTTCCAACGACGTCGCAGAAATAACTATTATTATTATTATTATGGTCTTTGGTCCCAACAACACTGTCGCGTAAAAACAATAACGATTTCTAACATTCACTACCATGTGGCAAACGCAAAGTGTTATTGCTCCAACTCGCAATGTAATGTAACTCACAAACTACCCTCTCAACTTTTGGATGGTAAAATCAAACCGTATGTTTGTTCTAACCGCCATCTCGTGGCGTCTAGAATCTAGACTGTCGTTAGCGGGTTTGGGGTTGACTTAAGCTCCCCCATCTAGTCTTTTACTCGAGTCTTACTTAGTCTTTCACTTTTACTTTTTTATTTAAGTGTAATAATCACCATAAGGACTAAGGCCTAAGATTCTATTAATGGGCCTCGCGACTGTTATTTATTAAAGGGCATTGTATAGGCAACTTTTCACTAAAACTTAACATTTGTGTTAAAATCTGTAAACACATATATTAACATAGGAAAAAGAGGTCTATTTTGATATTTAATTTTTGTTCTTCTATTGATTTTCAACTTCTATAACCCATAAAGGCTCCATTTTTGAATAAAATAGACTTTTGGCATTTCCATCATCATGTGTTCTCACAAAGTCTGATTTCCGATATTAAAAAAATTTGAATTTCTCATCATCTCTTGTGGTTTGTAGTACCGACTACTTTTTATAGTTATTTGTTTTCATTTAAAAATAGTTTTTATAAGCCATTTTTTTTTAAAACTATTCTTAAATAATGGAAAATAATAACACCTTAAAGCCGATATTGAAAAACCACAGAAGAGATGATGAGGAATTCAAAACTTTTTTCAGAATGGAAATCGGACTTCATAGGAACACAGGATGATGGATAATGTCAAGGGTCTATTTACGCCCAATTTTAGCACAGTCGCGAAGCCCCTTAATACGTTTACGTTTAAAAATACTCCAAAAGCATACCAGTGGGCAGTGACATGTATATTTAAGGGGGGGGGGGGGAAGAGTGTTAACGGGTTATACCGCTCCGGAAAATATATCCTTCGCTGCTTTTGGCCGTATCGATTTCAAAACCTAGACCGCTACTGAACGTCATTCGCCGCTTCAGCCTTTCTGTCTTAATAGATTTTAAGTGTTTTGATCGTACAATATTTACAATATTTACCATGGCGTTCCAATGAGGTAGTCATAGAACTGTCTGTAGTAGTAGTGCTTGTCGTGGTCTGCGCGGCAAATGGACGGGATTATGGCGTAATCGTTGAGCTTGGACCTTGTGGGCGGATAGTCGTTGGCAGACAGTCTGCGGCCGTCCTTGGTGCAAGTCCTCAGCACGCGCTCTTCCCAAGTCTGAGGCACCGGCACTGGGTCGTATAGGCCCCTCTGCCGTCTATCCATGTAGTGGATGTAGTCGTCGTAGTAGTTGTGCTGGTAATCGTAAATTATTTTGTATTGAAGCCTGGTCGGTCTGGCCCAGTGCCTGAAGATCCTGCGAGCGTCCTTCTCCTCGATCTACGCAAACAGCAGAAAACAGTACATTATTATTATTACTATGTATACCACGTAAACGTTTCCCAAAAGTCGTTTGACTAAACTTTAACAACACAATTCCTAAACATTTTCGTCGATACATTTTACAAAAACAATTTTTTCTATAAAATTAACAAACTAGCAATAACTAATTTATCATTTACAAGCTAATAGCCAAAGTATAATCCCAAGCGGAAATTAAAAAAAAAAATATGAAAATGTCTTTAATGTTTTGTCGAGATTTGGTGGAAAATGTTAACAGTAGGTACTATATTTCTCTGTGTAACTAATACTTGCTTTACTGCCAAAACAGAACTACATATAATAATGCAAAATAATAAAAATGTTTCAAACCCTTCTTGAAAATAGGATTAATAATGTTATCTTGATTTTTCACAGTATGTCGACACTATTATATATAATCAATAATAGACGCAAATTTGGGACTTATTTGAAAATTTGTCAAAAAGTTAGCGAGTTGAAATAATTGTAAATTGAAAAATGTGTAAATATGATGTTGGGGGTTGTCTCGATTATAAAGAGAAATGGTTGAATTTTTTTAACGGTTGATCTTATAAAGTTCCCTGCGAGTACGATTTCTATTCAATAAACTTCTTACATGACACAAAAAAAAAACGTCCACATTTGCTTACACATTACTTGTCGAAACTCATAAATAAAAAGACAATATCATTGTGAAGCCAAATATACCCTATCAGCTCCGCATCGAGGCTTAAACTAAATCACTTGTATCTATAATAATATGGAAATCTTTTTGTTTGCACTTTTTAATTTCTCAACTCGACAGAACCCAGCCGCTCCAATAACCCAATACTTTCATCCGTAAAAGCTAGTTTTACAATACAAGTCCTAAGCTCGGACGTCCTGATCGACGGTACAGGTACTTACAGCTTTTTTATAAGTTTTCCTCCATTCCGCAGGCGGTTTTGGCGCCTCGACGGGGGCCGCTGTTTCCCCTTCTGCAGTCTCTTCTTCCGCGGCTTGTACGTCGTCGGCGGGCGCCGCTTCTTCTGCAAAGTCCTCGAAATTCCACCCTGCGTCTGGATCGGCCATGGCGTGATCGTAATGGATCTACAACTGTACACGCGAAAAAAATAAAAACAAATTTTTTTTTACAACAATATTGCCACACAGCACACGCAAACTCTAGCGGACCTTATAAACGAATTCCGATCCAATTGAGCGCCGACTGCGATCAGCTTAAATGTACCGATTACCCCTTTGGCGCGCACAACTTATAATTCAACGGTGGCCGTGAGCGTGGCCGGCGCCCAATGTTTCAGGGTTGGTCAAAATGCTCGACGGCAACTCGCCCTCTCCCCCTACCACGGTGCCGGCCTTTGGTAACCACTGAGAATTCGATTGCCGCTTAACGAGGTTCGAATTTACATTTTTTTTTTTTTTTTTTTGGCGCCCGCAAATCTTTATAGACGCTTCATCGTGTCCTAATTGTCATTGTCAATGGTGAACAATGCCAATATTTTCGAATATCGATGAAGAAACAGTATAAACGTTTATTTTTTATTTTTTTTTTTTGTTTCGTTGAGACATATTGTTTTTTATGTTATAATTATTTTTAATACCGCGTAATCCCGATTAAGAATAGCCGTCATAATAACGGTATTATTGCAAGTGAATCAATAAATAGCTCGCGGGTCCGAGGCCAATTGGGTTTCCGGTTCAAGCTCAATCGTGCCGGTGTGTGGCTGATCAAGAGCTGTACAAGTATACAACGTGAACGCAAAATCCGTGATCGGTGATGTTATACAGAGCGGTCGTTTGTCTTGTGTTTTTTGGCCAAAAATACAAATTTTGTTCTTCTACTCTGGCGAATGGGACATTCATTTAATTGGGTTACTACCACTAACATTAAAATAATACTTTTTAAAAACAATTAAAAAGTAAGAATGATATTAAGAATGTTTAAACTTAGTATTATGGAACAAAACCATGTTGTATCCGTTTGTGATATTTACCGACAGTTGCCGACATTTACCAATATTTTTTCAGAGTAAAACTATGTATTAATAAAATTAAGGTGACGCGAAATGAAAAAGTATCGATCCGGTGACCAAATATCTGCCAAATTAATTCGAACGGCCAAAAAAGTCCTTTTTTGAAGCAAAATAAACTTCCAACCGCAGATAAATAGTTTTACCTAATTTTTTATGTAATAAATAATCCCTAATATTATAATTTGAACACTCGGAAAAAAACACTAACAAACAAGTATTGATAATATAAGCTGCACAAAAAAAAACAGATAAAAATACTAATCTCTTAAAATTACATCTCAAAAATTTAGCACAGTCTGGTCTTGGAGTTCATTAATTTAAAAATGATAAAATCAGTTTCAAAAAACCTAAAATCAAAGGTATGATATTTTAACAAAAAATATTGATAAACAAGTTTTTTATTATCTTAATGTTCTATGTATATACATTTTTTATACCATCAGTCTAATTTTTAACCTTTAAATTAAAAAAAATAAATACGGACAGTAAATATTTTCGTTGGCAAGTGCACAAATATCATAACATGCATTTAATGTATAGGAAGGTTATTGGTATTTATTTCTATATATCAATCAATTTCCCAAAAAAATGCACATACTACATATATTCTGTTAACTATAGTTTATAGTGTTATAAAAAAGGCGTGGGTCAAAGCTGGAACTTGAAACAGCTTTTTCGATTTTGTGAACCCCACTTTTTATCACCCCACTGTAACATTAGTCTTAAATTTTAAATCAGATGGATAGTTTGAAATGTTTGTACCTTTGAGAAATGCAATCAATCGGTTACAAAATTATCGTTGATTTTTATACAAATAACTATTGAATAATTATAATTAGTAGGTAAATTAAAAAAACATCCCATCATAAAACTAATGCACAAAAGTCGTAGATATAGTCTATAGAATGCTATAAACGTTAGAATCATTAAAAAAATCCCATTAACCTTTAGATGAAGCTACGTGGTTGAACTTATAAACTTTAATATCTAAAAAGTCAATGGTGTCGTATAAACATGTTTTATTTTAGATTAAATACCACCATAAATATAACCAATGGGTATAATTGGGTACTACTATATAACAACAAAATATTATTTTTTCATGTACTTTATTGACCGCCTGTTTGGCCCGAATAAACGTTCTTGGCCCCTTTTAAAATGATCGTTCATTGCCGATGCTACGCAAAAATGTCGACCTCTACTACCAATTTTACTTTTACAATATTATATTAGGTATGTAGGAAAGTTAACAACAGCCACTATAACGGCATGTGACGCGTTAATATTCTTGATTTTATTCATTATTCCGGACAACAAATTTTTAATATTAACATATTAAAACTATCACTAAAATGTGTAAACATATTTTCTGTTAAAAACATGTTTACGTATAATATTATTATAACCAAATTTCCAAATTGTATACATATTATTATGAATATTTTTTAGTGTAAATCTGAGTCACTCCGGTAGGGGAAGGCGCTATAAAAATTCAAAAACAAAATCGGATAAATTCGGTAGGAATATAGTTTAAAACAATTCGCAATGTCTCGCAGTCTTGCTTAAAAAAAGTGTTTGGTGTCTACTATTGTCTACGTAGAATAAAATATGTTAAATGGCAGAATTTTAAAATACAGTACAGTTAAGAAAAAAAAATCGTTGTACCTTAGGATATCACGATGTAGTATATAATGATATTGCTATTTTAGTGGTGCAAATTTAATTTTTGGTAATTTAGTAATAGCTGGAACGACACCTCGGATTGTGATCGGGTATTGTCTATTGATAGTTATTATTTTTTTTTTTTTGAAAGAACACACCGATTTCTAATATTTATTAAATAATCAAAAACGTTAAAAAAATTATTCAAACTTTACTTTTGTAAAAAGACATTGAATTTTTGAAAATTTAAATGACTATTGAAATCCGATCACTCTACTAGGCGTCATGTCATTTCAGTTTTTAACTTCTGTAAGTCATGTTCTGGAGTATAAAAACTTTAGTGCTTACAGTTATTTTGAGTTTTGACCCATCGTCTATTGACTGTCACTGTTTTGGGTTAAAATGATGCAGCCGCCGCTTATAAGAACGTCAGCTGTTATGGAGATAACAAGATCCTGTTATTTCCTTATCTAATATCCTAATGGCTACCTGTGCGGTAAGCAATACTATCTTCTACAGTCTTCTGATAATACAAGAACAATAATATACACACCTGTTGAGTTTTGCGTTGATTTTTGTGTTTCAATAAAATAAATGAGAGACTTGAATTCTTTTTAATTTACTTAAAACAAAATTTAGGGGATTTCATGTTCTGCCATTATGTTTTTTAAAATAAATTTAATAATTCATGAAAGTGGATAAATAAATGTAAACCATGTTGGGAAGCGTAGTGAAACTGGATTGGCAAAGTACCGCTGAAGGCGAAACGATCATGCAGCATTTTTACAATCCACAGAGTAACGGAAGGAAATTGTTTGGTAACTATAAAATAGTAATTTTAAAGTTTAAACTTAGGAATATTTTAGATTATATTTATAATTTTTTAGGGATACTCGAGCGTCCCATGTTACCAAATGTAGAAGAAGTATCTTACAAATTATTTTTTGTTGGAAAAAGTGGAGCTGGAAAAACTGCTACAATAGCCAGATTAGCAGGAGCAGCAAAAATAAATGATGAATATATAGAAACGCGAGGCATACGTAAAACTAATATTTATTGGCCTGCAAAAGTTTGGGATAGGATTATTTTGTTTAGACTCCAGTGCTGGGATGCAGGAGACAGGGACTTAAAAAAATTTGGACATATTTTACCAGTAAAAAAAAATTTACTTAATATCAACTATTTATAATAATTTAAGTTTGTACTGATGGCAAATAATTTTAGGTTTGCAAAGAAGAAGCAGATGCTATTGTCTTTGTATTTTCATTTAACGACCCGACTGGACTAGCTACCATTTCAACAAACATTTCTACATTTATGAACAATAAAAGTAGTCCAGCTCCTATTGTCATTGGAACAAAGTAATTATTAAAATCTAAACTGAAATAACAAAATACTGAAAACTATTAATTATTTAAACTTGTTGTACCAATTATTATATTTTATTATTATTTGTTGTAATTTAGACACTGTCCGGGGGATTTTACCGCAAAAGTAACAGTATCTGATATAGAAGAATTTGAGAACACACAAAAAATTACAGTTCTGAAATTAAACAAAACAGTGGATAACTTTGATTCAAAAGAAAACGAACTTACTGCTCTTACTCTAAATGTAATTTGTGAACAACTATGGATTAGAGATCAAAATTACATTATAAATCAAGAAATGAACTCAATGCAAATTGTATGAATATTGTGACTTGATGTTTGTGATGTTGATTTCTTCACCGACAACAGTTTATAAACATATATAATATTGTGTTGAAATATTTTTCATTAGGTTATGTACAAACTCTATCTACATTTAAATAAAGTTTGCTTAATTTTGAAAATTGTATAGCTGTGAAGTAATTTGTTATGATTGTGTAACATGCATACTGAACTATTATGTGTAGATACTTAAGACGGGTGGACTGTAAAGTAGAATACTTTAGTGTACAAAATCTTTGCAAGTATTTAGACTCGTTTATTATTGTGTATATTTGAATATTATAAGTATTTTTGTTCATAATATAAATCATACTTCATTTATCAAATATTGATTAATTTGTTAGACTATTACTATTACTATTTCATTATAATTGTCAATTTTGCAAAACAAAGAATTAGAATTATTGACAAAAAATATGTTAATAGTTTTAAAATTTTAATTGTTGTTTTATTTTTAAACCTCAAAACATTTGTTAAAGTTTAATCATTAATCATTATTTTCATATTGTATTATACTTGCATATATATTTAACTATTTTAAAAATAACTATAATTATAACGATAAAATAATTATATTTTTTTAAACAGGAGTCATTCGTATTATCTTATGGAAATAATTATTTGTTGCATAAGAAATTTAATAAGTAGGTGCATATACTTTACAGAATAATAATAAATAATTTAGTGTAAAAATTGTATAAAGCAACAGTACCACATTTTTACATTTTTCAAGGATCATATTAACAATTTATTTGTTTAAACTGATTTGTTCTGATATATGAATTGGAATCTGATAAATTGCTGTTAAAGTCAAAAAATACTTATGCAATAGTAGCACAACAATAATGTATGGTTCTGATTTTATAATATAAAACTTGGATAATTTTTTTATATTAACAAAATTAATTTTTTTTTACCAAAAAATATATTTCCTAATTAATTTTTAAACGCAGTTGCATCGCCTTGATTTTATTAGAAATTTAAATTAATGATTTGGAACCGGTCGGTTTTTTGTTGCGTGTTTCGGTGAAACGTTTCAATAATCTCGAAAATGATTCACTTACTGTAATCAAAATTCTTATCAGTCATTTTCATGATAGTCCGGTCAGCAGCATGTTTACACATGTTTTATTATTTGCCAAAGCCCAAAACATTGAACAATAATTATTATTATAATAACTTTTTAATTATATTTTAACTTAATTTAAAATCTTGGTGTATGATTTTTAGTAATAATACTATTAAAAATGTTAAACGTGCGATCATTTTTAAGAATAAACATCGTATCAAGGGTGCCATCAAGTTTGTAAGTGCCTAATTGTATATATTAGGTTTTGTGTTTTTACCAATTTAAAATCTTAATCATTTCAATGCTTTTGACCTACAATATCTGTCCATTAATACAAAAGCAGTATTATAATATATTATGATTAAAACTAGTTGGCACATGAAAGCATTGTTCCTTTACTCTGTAGTGGTATAGTCTATAGATTTAATGTATCGTATATAAATTGCTATCTTTAACCTTAAACTAAGTCCTCTTGGAATTTCAAGTTTTTGTATCTCACTTTTATTGCTAGTTGAAAACTAAGCTGTCTAATTTATTTAGATTCATTCGAAAGCTTGCAAGCAAAACTACAGCTACACAGTTTTCCAGTGTTTTGCCAGAACCCAAAATAATTTCAGATGAAGGTAACAGTATTAAGTATTTGTATTAATAATTTATTAATAGAAAAACCTACCTATTTTGTTAATATTCATTATTAAATTTTACATTTTCTAGATTTTAACAAGTTGAAAAGAACATTTTCCTCGCCACGCAATATTATTTCGAATTATTTCAAAAATGCTGAACGCACATTAGATTTACAAACTGGATTTCACTTTAGTTTCACAAAGAAGAAAGGCATATGGAACTGCCAATTAAGTATACAATGGCCTAGTCCTATTGTATTTTCTAGTGCAGCCGCCACTAAAACTAAAGCTGCAGAAACTGTATCATTAAGAGCAATTCAATGGCTACAGGTTCGTGTAATTTTCTCTGATGAGTATTATACATTGATTGATAATATTGTTTCACATAAGAATTGTATGCAACATTGTCAAATCAAAGTACCCTTGTATAATTTTTCTAGGAAATGGATAAACTAGATAGTAAAGGAAAGCCAATTTTAGTGTCACAAAAACAACGCATCGATGTGGCTCATTCACCAGTTACGTCAATCGATCTGGATGAAAAAGATGTAAAACTCATAACAAATTTGTTTCAAAAGTACAATCAGGTAAGGCAGTTGTATTCTTAGACTTTGTAATAATAGATCAGTTATCTGGTAAGATTTTTTTTTCAAAATGAATTAGAACTTATTCTGAACAAATAGATATCATTTGTTCCAGATTTAGTTTTAAATTTGGATAAATATGATATAATCCTAAAATAATATTAAAAAATGTACTATATTTATAATTAAGTATTTTTTAGGAAATTTTACCTGTAATAAAAAAAGAAATTGAAGAAATTGACGTTAATGAGTTAACTGAAGGTACATTAATCATTAATTTTTTTTATTAACTATTTTTAAATTATGTCATTCTTATAATTTATTTTCAGAAGAGCCCTCTTTTGTGCTGCCCAAGTTTTCACATTCTGATTATGTGACACGTAATCAAAAGTTGTTTAAAAAATCTAAACAATTACCGGCAGAAGTAGTCAAGCTACCAATTGATGATTATAAGTATGTCAAAACAATAATATTATCAACTGTTAAATGCAGTTATTATTATTTTGTTGGGGGTTTACATGTTATGTTGTTATATACTTGTCTTTAGAGAAACGATTCTTGATATGGTTCAAAAAAATCGAGTAACAATAATAAAAGGCGAACCAGGCTGTGGTAAAAGTACAAGAGTACCTAATTTTATAATAGATCAATGGAGTCGAGAAAACAAAGGGGGTGAGTGTAATATTTATGTTACACAACCGAGGCGAATCAGTGCAATTACACTTGCTCAACGAGTTGCTGAAGAACGATTAGAATCGGTAATAATATTCTAGGAGACACATCATTTGAAGATTTTTATAATGACTTGTGTAATTATTTCATCTTGCAGTTAGGTGACGTTGTTGGTTATCAAGTACGGTTAAGTCAAGTACTTCCTAAAACACCGGGATCAGTAGTATTTGCATCTAGTGGTATATTACTTCAAAAATTACAGCTTGATCCCGGGCTTAAGGAATTCTCACATGTCATCATCGATGAAGCGCACGAACAAGATATTAATACTGAAATACTGTTAATGCTCACTAAAAATGCGTTAGAACTAAATACAAATTTAAAGTTAATCATAATGAGTGCTACACTAGATGCACAACACTTTCAAAAATACTTTGGGCGCTTTGCAGAATCTATCTCTATACCAGGAGCTACATATCCTGTGAAAACACACTTTTTATCTGTATGCAACTAAATATCATTTTTATTTAAATATTATTAAGTTTAATATTCCAAATTTAATGTGTTTTTTTTTATTACTCAGAATCAATTATTCAAAGAATTGGGTATTAGTAATAATGATTCAGTTGTTGAACAAAACGGTCAACCGTTTTGGAATCCGTTCTTAGTAGCAAAAGTAATCAAATGGATTGATGCTAAAAAACCATCTGGTGCTATCTTGTGTTTTGTTTCAGGATGGCAAGATATAATGGATGTAAGTAAACTAATTATTTTTAAGTTAAACAAATATAAATGTAAGAAAATAAGAACAGAGTTAGGAGAAGAGCTTTGGGTATTTTTTTTGGAAATTACTTAAAACATTGCATTTAAAGGAAAAAGTATTCACAGTTTGTAATTAAATATGCCAACCTAATAATTGTATAATATTAAGTTAAAATTACATATTAAATTCAATACTGAGTTTTGCTATAAAATATATATAACATTGTTATTGAATATATTATTTAGTAAGACCAAACAGCTTATCATGTGGATGTGTTATATTTAAATTTATTTTATTAATAGTGACAAAAAACTTGATTCTGGTTTCTAACAATTACAGCTCTAATAATATTAAATTTCCCCAATATTATTCAACAGATTAGCAAAATGCTGCAAAAAGGATATTCAAATAATTTAGATATAAAATTTGCACATTCTAAACTTACTCCTGAAAAACAAATAGAAATCATGCAACCCGGAAGAGATGGAAAACGCAAAGTAGTATTAGCAACTAATATCGCAGAAACAAGCATTACGATAAACGATATAGTGTATGTAATCGACACTGGTATGCAAAATGTATCTAGGTAAGATAATAATAATATATCTTATATACTCTTTACTCTAAACTGTTTAAACTGTTGTTTATATTCAATATTAATTTAAAAAAAAAATTTAGAAGCTTAGTGAAATGTTTTAATTAGTTAAAAATTTAATTTATTATAATTTTTTTTTTTAACAAATTATATTTTTGTATTTTTTATAAACATATTGTAGTTGGAGTGCAGAAAAAGGTATGAAATACTTGGATCGTGGCTGGGTTTCGCAGGCTAATGCTAGGCAAAGAAGAGGTCGAGCGGGAAGAACTCGACCAGGCGAATGCTATCATTTATATACTTCAGAACGTTATAACAAATGCACAGAGTATCCAGTGCCTGAGATTCACTCAACTCCACTTGAACACACGATTCTTAATCTAAAAGTTAGTATATACAGTTTAATAAAAATAATTTGTTACAATTTCTTTTATATTTGTTACAGATTCACAGTGATAAAAAGGCTAGGCTAGTATTATCCAAGCTCTTGAATCCGCCAGATTTGGAAAACATAAATGGTGCGGTTTCAGAGTTAAAACTTCTTGGCGCATTAGACAATGACGAAGTGTTAACAGCACTAGGAAAACGGATAGCAGCATTTCCTTTTGACCCTTTCCTATCAAAAGCACTAGTTAATTCAATATTTTTCAAGTAAAATTCAGTTTATCTTTTTTAAATTACATTATTATAATTATAAAACATCAGGAAAAATCCAATAACTAACACTATTGATTTAACTTTTAGATGTCTCGACCCAACATTGACAATTATTACCTATTTATCAAGTAACGTTAATATATTTAAAGATGTATCAGCAGTTGATTCGCGAATGATAAAGAATAAATACTCTCCTAATAGCGATCACTTGGCTGTGGCTAAAATGTTTTCTGAATGGAACCAAATTCAACGTGAAGATAGAAGAGAATCCACTGATTTTTGTCGTAAAAATTATTTGTCCGAAGCTAGTCTAGTATTAATGTCTAGTAAGTGAAAAATAAATAGATACTTGTTGGGAGTAAAATCTAAAACATTGCTTGTGTGGAAATTAATTAATATATAATTTATTCGATTTTTCAGGACTAAGGAATTTATTTGCACAGCATTTGTTCAACAGTATGTTAATTGATGACAAGAACTTAGACAACCTGAATGTATTATCGGAGATGTCAAAAGATGAACTTTTACCAGCAGTGTTGATTTCGGGTTTTGGAAATTTAGTCTTTAAAAGATTGTTTATGAGACCAAATGGCCGCAAGAGCTCGACTTATGTCACCGAGTATGTTTGTTAATTCACCTTTAAAAAAACTGAATTTGAAAAAAGAAATATATTTCCTTAATCTATTAATCATTAATGTTTTTATTTTAGTGGTGGAATAAAAGTTATTATGCATTCAGAGTCTGTAAATTATAATAGAAGTAATGAAAATGACTTACTTACCTATTATAGAGAAGGCAGGACTCTCGACAACGATATGGCCATGTTAAATAAAACCACATCCGTTCATCCAATAATTGCTGTTCTGTTTTTCACTGGTCAAGCAACGTTTAAGCATGTAAATATTATTACATAACACTTAAATTTTGTATTAAATCAATTCATGTCGTGAAATAATTTTTCATTTAGGATGGGCAAAATAATTGCATAATTTATGTCAAAAATAAGAAACGTATCAATATTTCGTGTTCTAAAGGGTAAATAAAAAAAAAATTGTGTTATTTGTTCCAATAAGTACTTGACAAATTGTTTAGCAAAATAATTATTTTTTTGTTTTGCAGCGATTGGCAAAATTTAACTGCCCTCAGACAAGTTATTTGGAATCTGGTCGATTACATGATGAAGACTTATGGACACAATGAAATAATGGATGAAACAGACGAAACTATTTTAAACTTTCGTGACTTGTTGTGTTCGGTTTTATGTAAACTGGTTGAAAAAAAAAATTAATGTTTGTTATAAATTCTTAGATGATTGTTACCAATTGGTGTGTATATTGCAGTTATCGTTTATACAATTTGAGTATATTGTATTGTTAACGATTATTATTAAAAAAAAGTAATTTCTATTACTTCATAATAGACTGATTAATTAATTTTATATGTGTTTGTATAAATACAATTGTTTATTGATTGATAAAGATGAGTTATATTTTTAATCCGTTTTTATGTTTATTTCATTTTTTTCAAATTTTTAATTATTACATCCAATAATTTTGCTGATCTCTAACAAATGTCCTTTAATATCTGGCTAGTTTTTAATTGGCACAATGTTACATATCGATTCAATTTTTGTCAATTGTACATTAAACTTTTTAGTTTAGTTAGTTGACATCTCGCTACATCTATAAAGGACTTGAGTTATATTATGTACTCGATAGTCACAATTTTTATTAAAATTATTATACAATAAATTTCAAAACTTGAGAAGTTAAATAGATGGTATATTTAAACAGTACAGTAATGACTATTATTTTACAGTTCAGTTTACAAAATATATATTTTAAAAATAGAAGTTTTTATATAATTTGACATGTATAATATTGTATGAATTATTTAAATAAAAGAAAGTCTTATCAGTTATCGAAAATTGCTTATCTGAAGATGATTTTTTATCAATCGCTTATCAGTGAACATGCCGAGAGAATAATTTGAGACAATATAATTATTAATTTGTATTTAAGTTAAAAATGAAGTAAAAATGTTTAGTACCTATTTCAGTTAATTGGTGATTAAAGAAAAAAAATAATTTTTTTTCAATTCTAATATAATATTTATTTTTTAATCAAACGTGTAATTACATTACAACTTACTTTTTTTTTAGCGATGTTTTCAACAAGAAATTTAGTATGTAAATTGTTTTTGTAATACATTCCAAATAGTTTTAGTTATATGAATTAATATTAGACCAGATAAAAAATATTATTTCTTTAATTATTGCATTTATATTTACTTTACTCTCTTAGGTTCGGTCTTTAATGAAATTGACTCGAGTAGCAACTGTCGAGCCAAAATCAAATATTATGATCGGTGTTCGTCATTTAGGTAGCATTTATGAACCAGAATACTTAGACAGTCTTGAACCTGATATTCCAGAGTATGAAGAGCTTAATGTACAAATAAAAGGCTATGATTTTGCTGTATTAGAATCGTTTCAAAAATTTGTCCATACAGCAGCAGAAAACATGGATATCGAAGTATCTGATGGGTAAGTATTAACTGTTTTTTGTATGTTGCTTAAGTAAATATATATTTAAAAACTATTACTATTTTAAGGTGGGCATTGCCTCCACAAGTATTTAATGTGAAGAGGTTAGTTCCAAATAGTGAAACGGTTGAAGCTCAACATATACTTAACATTTATGAACGTAATATTCAGGTTGGAATATTTCTTTCTTTGATTTAATCACTATTTAAAGAAATTTTTGTAATTTAACATATTTTTTAATGCTAGATTGTCGATGTACCGTCAACTAAGCTATCATTACTAATTGAAGTTATTGAAGATTCATTGCCAGCTGGTGTGTCTGTATCAGTCCATCCGCATACAGAAGAACACGAGAAATTGAAGTATATACCGGACAGTGAATTGAAACAATTAAAAGATCAACTGGATGAAATAAGAAAGAAAAAATAATATTATCTTGTTGTAGTACTTATACAAAAACTATATGTTAACATAGAAATAAAAGTATAAATAAAGCTTAAAAATATTTATCAGAAAACAATCAACTTGGGTCTAATAATAAAAGAAACTATAATTTTACAATTAATTATGCCAATTTTTTTAGAAATAATACTACAGAATAATAGTGTAAGATCAGTATAAATATTTTTAAGAACCAAAAATACGATAGTTTTACAAAAGCCAAACAAAATTGATGATGAGAAATTTTAATGTAAAGGTTGTAAACATAATTCAATCAGTTACAACATGTAATGTAAGTTTTTCGTGAAAATAGAATATGAATCTCTGTCAAGGGAAGTAATTTTTTAGCATGCTTTAACTATTCAGGAGCCAGCAGGCTAAAGCATGTTTCATGTTTTATCATTTTAGCCGTTAGGCTTTAACTAGACTGTAACTTTTTTCTATATAATAAATACAAATGTTCTCATGTACTTTTTGATCAATTCTAACATTACACTTTTCAATTAGTCAATACCTATTAAAAAAGATAAATAAATCTAGTTATTATTTCCTTCCCTAAACTTTACAGGGGATGTCTAAAATATTACCAATTTTGTGAAAATGAATGACTCTTGATTGATTGGAGGGGGTGATTTTTCCCTGTTACATGAATATTTTATAAACATTATAATTTTTCCCATACTACTTTTTGACCGATTTAAATATTATTTTGACAGTTTTTGTGAAAAGAATAAATCTTAATAGTAGGCAGTAATAATTTATTTATTTTCTGTATTAAAAAAATATTTCTATTATTGGAAAATAATAATTCTATATAAAGACTATAGGCCTATTAACTTTACTTTAGTTAATTTTGTTGTTAGAAACTAAAATAAACATTAAGAGAATGTATAATTACTAGTCAATGTCAGATATCAATGGAACAATCTGTTCTGGGCTGTGCTTAGGTATAAATTTTTTTGTGAAAATCATGTTTTAGTACTTCGTGTTAAAAGTGTACAATAAATTACTACGACCTAAGTACAAACACCTGCTTTATTTTATCCACTAGACATTTTTTATTTGGTAATCGGCAAAATACTTTATTAGTGAACTCAATAAGCATATTGTTATACAGGGTCACCATAAAAACACTTTACATTTTCAAAAAGGCAAAATAATAATAATTTTTCAAAAAAAAATTGTTTTAACTAATGTTACATGTAACACAAACATTTTACATAAGTTAAAAACATTTTTTTTTGAAAAATTAATATTATTTTGCCTTTTTGAAAATTTAAAGTGTTTTTGTGGTCACCCTGTACAATATATGTAATTTATTATAATTATTGAAATGGAGCTTTATCTGTAAACAATTTCTGTATAAATACCGTTTTATTCATTCACTCTAGTAGTACATTTGGTATATTGATTTTGTAAAAAGTTACTGACATATATGTGTCTGTACAAGTATATTTTCACTGGTATTTGAATTTCAATACATAATCGTTTAAAGCAATACAGGCACGTTAAATAATTTCTAACCGCATATAATTGTAATTTGTAATAACAAAAATACAAAATGGCTAAATAATTATGCCATCATTTAATCTAATACATATAATATTACTACGTGTTCTAATTTTAATTATATTGATAATAGTTATATAATATTGATTCGTTTAAATATAACATAATATGTAAATCAGTGTATCTAATGTTGAATATATTATTTTAGTTTTTTATAAATAACATTAAAATGCAAGTGTTAGGTAAGTGATATTTTTATAAGTATTTTCACATAAGAACATGTAAATCTTGTAATTAAGTAAATAAAATAGTTAAAATTAAAACATTACAAAGAGCTGTAATTATCATTTTATGGCGTATAATAAATAAACATCATATTCATATCATAAACATCATATTATATTATATTATTCTACTTCGTATAACATTTTGAAAAACTAAAAGATTGTTTGAGTTTAGTTCTAACTCGAGGCGTAGACCATTTTCCATTCAGGTTGTTGGTCATTTCATTCGGAAACACTCCTTCGTCCACTTCATCTTCTTCGGTCTTTATTTCCATTTTCTGAGAGAAACACAAATACATTATTTATTGAACGGTGATAAAATGGAGACACGTATTGAGAAATCATACTATACAATCTGAAATTTTCAGTTCTCAGGTTTTTATCTATGTTTAGAGAAAATTAAAATCTTTGTTATTCTATTTTCAAAACTAACACGTATTGAGCGTTTAAAGTGATCGTTTGAAAAAGTAATTTTTATAAGAATAATTACTTGAGATCAATATGAAAATTCACTATATTACGCTAAAACTAATTATTTTGAACCTTAGAAACGATAACTTCATGAATTCCATTTTATTATTGGCCCTCGTGTAATTTTTTTGAATTTTTTTCTAAGTGGCACTATGATTTCTCAGCACGCATCATTTGTTTACTAATAATTGTTCAATGACCAACTTGTATGATTAGTCTGAGAAACGTCTGTTGTATTTCCAACGAGCTGCTGATCACTTTCAACCGGTCCTTAACTTTGTCAATTTCATCGGTTAAATCGTTTTCGTTGTTTTCCAATACCATTTCGATAGCTGAGAAGATTAAAAAAAAAAAAAACAAATCACATTAAAAACGACGCGTGCCGTGCTGCGTTTACACTGAATTTATAATATTATTCTTTCGAGCCTCATCCCGACCAGAAATGGGTTAGGGCCAGGGCCATCTCTTATTATCCCTCTTTTCCCCCTCAAATCTCTAAAACCATTATCGTTATTAATCTACATGGCTGCACATATTTTCTGCTATTGGCGCAACTGCCATCCTTTTAAATGTCTGTCGAAAAGTCAAAAGTGTAAACGCAGCAACACTGTTGGGATTAACTTACGGCCGCGGACGACTAACCGTAAACCCAAGCGGAGGAGCTGAAAATATGATTGTTGGTACTCTTACCGTCGTCGGAAAACGGGTTACAAAACCATTTGCCCAAGATAAAATCCAAAAAACCCATTTTCGTTTTTCTCTCGTTAGGATACTCGATTTGTTCCGTCTTGTCGATTTTCTCCATCAGCACGTGTGGCAGCTTTCGTTCCAGCTCGGTGTGCAGCACGACCTTGAAATTATACACATAAACACAACACCATGACGTTCTACAAAACTAAGATTAACAGCGTCCAACATACTTTACATTATTGTTAAATGAAATCGTAAAATATTATTTATTTTAAATAGAATTATTATTATTTCGACTAGTTTTATGCTGACCGTCGGTTGACCAACAGATGTATAAATAATGCCAATAATATTGTAATTTTTCATAAGAACGTTTCCATATTAATGAAAAACAAACGTTAAACTCTAGACTAGGGAATGGAAGTAATAGTACTCAAGAATCGATATAGATTTTGAACATTACTAGTGATATTAAAACAGGTATTTTAATATATCTTGGAAAGCGAAAATAAAATATAGTACCTATCTGTCGGGCTGTTCGAACGTTCTCGCGTTAAAATTTTTCATTTACATATTAATTATGTTCGTCCAAATAGTTGAGTAATTGAAAACAAATAAAAATACATTTTCAACGAGCTATAATAGTTAATTATGTAGGAAAATAGTAAATATATTATTTTACATTTATTACAGTAATAAATTAAAAAAAGTTTCAAACGTTATATACCAACGCAGAACGCGATTTACTTGCTCCCTGATAATTTTAGAGCAAAAGTGCCTACAACAAAAACAAAATTTTGGAGGCAATGTCTTCCTTTTTTTAATAAACCTAATATTAAGCTTAATATTTAACATTTCAAATTACTTTTTTTTACTTTTTTTTTTAAATAGCTATACATTTTTTCACGTTTTTGAATGAACGAACTCTCGAACTTAAACCTTGAAGACGGACAGCGACAACCGAGTACTCTCGACTGATGACATGTGGTTACGGTAAAGTCGACTGACAAAATATCATTGAATTTAAATGTCTTTTATATTGTTTTACATTTTGCAACTAAGCGTTAGGTTAATTTAATTGTTTAGTAATCAGTCTCGAGTCGTCGGAAGCACTGCCCATATTTATTTTTATAAATTTACCTACATTGATGACGTGGTCAACAAATGACGTTTGTAACAAATAGGCTGTACCCAACTCCTTAATAAATAGGGGTATCCCGTATCACGTCATCTTAAGAGCTTTTCGATTTTTAAATTCACGAAAATAACTACAACAAGCTTATTACTGCCGGGTTGGGCAACACAATTATAAATATAATATTATATGGTTCATAAATTGAATGGGCCAACCATGGGCTACTATTACATGTTTATGGAACCACTAAATATTTAACCGCTATGAAGCACTTCATTAGGCATAATAGGCCCTAAAGTTAGTCCAGAGTATAACGAATTATAGCTTTTTGGTTATTTTCTTAAATTGTCTATCAACTCAAAGACAACTGGTTCAATGCCTAGACTGTTCTATTAATAAACTTAATTATTACTATTATTTATAAATTATAATTACAGTTGTTTCGCAAATTAAATTATACACATAACTGAGTTAATAACAATATTGTCAAGACTCTTTTTAAAGAAAGGCTCCTCGTTGACCTCGTTTTCAGAAGACCTCGGACGTATTTCTAGTGAACACGTGTCTCTATTATACTTAAATTAGATGTTTAACTCAAATTTAATTTAATTACTCCATTAGCTTTGATGCGAATATTTCAGTGGAGTTTCCGTAATTCGATTCCTTTGTACTTCCCATTACTAAGAACACTTAGACACAATATGCTCGTCCCGACTATCCGGAAATATCTCAATATCAATTAGTGGCTAGTTGTAACTTTAGTTTTATTAAAACGAACTAAATAATCAGTAAACAAAAAATAACCTTATTATTATTAACCTCAGTTGTTTTTAAACCCACCTGCATAGCCAATCTTCTCAGTTGTGCGTTTCTCCTGACCGACTCGATGTCTCCAACGGCCAGACCAATTAGTAAGTTCATCAGTAATATAGGCATGAGAACCATAAATACGCCAAGCATTAAAAACACAGGCACCGGATATGGTATGCTTCTGATTTCACCAAAGTCATCGCCGTTGCCGTCATTGCTGTACAGCGGTTGTATATAGGTTCCGAGCAGGTCAATTTCGCCCAGCATCATGGCAAAAGTCCGCAACAACGACATCGGCACGGTGCTGAATGAAAGATGGTTACCCTTAGGGACAATACAAAATTATTATACATGTATATCAGATAAAAATAAAACAGATTCGGCATTCGATTCGCCGTGCAAAACTCACCTTCGACAACAGAATGTAAAACGCCAAACCGAAAGCGGCAATCAGTATGGAGAATAAGAGTAGTACCTTGATTAACGTTTGTAATATTTCTAGGAACATAACGACGTAGATCCCTACTTGATCGAATCTATTGTGAAAAAAATAACGCACGTGTACAATAAACTATGTACATTGTCAAAAACGGTCGAACGAAAACCAAACCGAATTTAATCATCTTAAGAGGACGATTAAACCGTTTTCAGTCTACACAATGTCACGTCGACCGTGACTACTGACTATTGGACGTAATCGTTCGAGACGGCTGTGCTCGCGCGTTTCCATTACCTTTGTAAATTTAAAAGCAACGTGAACCAACTGAGGAACACGGTGAAGCTGGCGAACGATACTTGATATTCGATCAACCGGCCGGTCAAAGCTGGCGAAATCATTGCCACGGCTGAAAAATACAACAGTATGGCCACCGCGTTGGTCGGGTCCAATAGATACGGCCATCCTTGCTGGTAGAACTGGATTACTTCGCGTATGCTGTTGATGAACACGTAGATCATGATCATCACCGCTACGGACTTGAGCGTGGCCTGGCTAGCGTTTGTCTAAACACGGATTCAACAAACTCATTCCATTAGGACTGACCATAAGTACGGAGGCGGACCGACTAAGACAAAGCGTTCTTGAGTTACCCTTAACTTTACCCTAAATCACAATATAAGAAGAAGCCTACAACATTAAATGTGTAAAATAAACAAGTCCGCAAGTTAATCACGTATTCGTTAGAAACGAAGAAGACGAAATTATAATGGCACGCTTACTTTCAAGTGAAGTAAGCGTGTCATTAAAATTTCGACAAAATTCCACGACGCGCACTTCGATTTTGATCATGAATTATCATGAAAATTCGACAACATTAAGTAACAAAATATCTTGATACACATTTTTAATTTGCTAGTTAAACAAATTTCAAAAAGTTGTTTAAATTTCCGAAAATTTGTTATATTTAAAAAAGAAATATTAGTCTAACTATAAATAATTTCGAAAAGTGCTTCAACGGATCGCTTATATAAGTTAAGAGAAGCCGAATATTTTTTTATAATCTAATCATACATTGTTGTGTTCTATATAACCTCCCTTGTAGAACAGTATAAGCCAATAGTCAAGTCCGCCTCTGTTATAACGAATGGATAAAAAAACCTAGATCGTACCATGTCAGCCGATAATAATTCGTTGTTTAAGTTGGACAGGTCGTCGTAACTAGAAAGCACCATCAGTTGCGAAGAGAATAGAGTGACGAATATCAGAAATATTGTAAAAAATAATAAATGCGCCAGATGGAAATATTTCCCGTAAGTATTCCACTTCATTTGTAAGTATTTCTGACTCAACGGGTGCGCTAAGAGTTCAACCCGTCCGTGATTTACCATTGCCTATGGATGAGAAAATATCAGTCATGTTAGAGTGTGTTTTTAAATAAGTTAATTAAGTCGGTATCAAAGTTGGATGAATTACATTTAAAGCTGGCAGCGGTGTTCGTTTCAAGGTACCGGCCACATTGTTCTTTTGAATCGCCGGGCATTGTAGACAAGCAAATGAATACTTGATCTAATTAAACAAGCGGTATTAAAAAAAACAAATAAAATACATTATAACATTTTATTGGATTTCAATAGGTTGACTTACGTAAAACTGTTTTGAGTCTTTCTTGCAATTGGCTTTTGTGATACATTTATCTTGCACGGCCTCAAACACACGAGGCATGGACGCAATCAAAGCCAGTGTGACACAAGGGTGTCTATCGGATTTCAGTGCCATGATTTCTTCGGCTCTAAAACCGAAAATTAAAAATTATAGCTAATAAACTATTACTATACACACGTATTAACTAAGTTTTTAAAAAAAACACCTAGAATCGTGAGTGACCATTGATAATGCTGCTTCAGGGAACTTGTAATAAATGGCATAATCAATAGCGCTAAGGTCTAACGAGTTAAACAAGAGTTTACAGTTCATGTACAATAACAATGTAATGGCGTTCGGTTTGTTTTCCATTGTAGCCAAATGTAACGCAGTGTTTTTGTCTTTATCGCATTGGTCTAGAAGATGCGAATGAACAGAATGTAACAGTTCAATAGTCTGAGTGTGTCCGCTCATTGCCGCCAAATGTAATGGATTTCTACCCTTGTGGTCTCGATGCAGTAGAGCGCCTCTGTTCAAGAATAACTGCACGACTTTAGTGTGACCTGTGTGCAAAATAAACCATGGAATCAAAACGGTTACCTTGTACCTCCGTTAATCAATATTTAGTACCTTGTTGAGATGCTATGTGCAATGGGGTGAGTCCGTCTCCGTCCGATTCATTGATGATAAACGCCCCTTTTTCCGAATCTAATAATCTTTTGACAATGTTGTATCTTCCATACCTTGCGCCGAAATGTAAAGGACTTTCCCCGTTGTGATTTTTTATGTTAACACAAGCGCCCAAACGTATTAAACTCTCTAAACTTCTGATATGACCGCCTCTACTGGCATAATGTAATGGCGAACATCCTGTAATGTCTCTTTCGTTCAACAACATTTCCAAAGCTTCTTGGTCGTTTTCCTGAAAAAACTATCACGATCAAACGGACGTTCTATCGCCAACGTTGAATATATTTTTTAATTTCTAGTCTCAAATCTTGATCAATCTTTGAAATAAAAGTTACTGATTTTGGGAAAATATTTGTTAATTAAGTTTGAACTTCTAGATTTAAAGCTATAGGTAATATGCTTATAAATAAATACATTTTATTATTCTATCAATATTTAAAATAGTTATTTAACATCTAAGATAACTAGTTTTTAGCCTCTACACATAAAACGACTAATCAGACTGTACAACTGACTAAACGACTATCAGAACTATGTAAAATTTTCCTGATTTATAAAAAAAGGTGTCATCAAATGAAACATTATAATAAATCACCATTGTGATTTCATGTGCAAATTCGTCTAGACGTCCACCATACATAACTACAAGATGCAACACGTTTCTTTTATTGGAATCTTTTACTTGAACGTCGGCGCCCAATCTTATCAAACTGATCACAGTTCTCCATCCAGACCTGCTGGCCGCCAAGAGTAATGGAGATCTACTCTCCTTATCGAGAGCATTCATGTCGGCTCCCTGAAACACATAGGACGTATCAGAAAGAATTAAAACAATTAACAGGAATAAATCAATTAAGCCCGTTTTATCTCTTCACCTCTTCGATTAAGTATTGTACGATTTCAGAACGATCGAACATGGCGGCACAGTGAAGTGGTGTCATTTTCTGCACATCGCAAGAGCAAAGGCATTGGGTTTTCTCAGCCGGTTGCAATCCAAACATTAGCCGAACTATATCGATAGCTCCTTGTGCACAGGCCAAATGGACTGGTGTCGAAAGATCGTATTGCTGCGTGGATATTTTTGCGCCAGATTTCAGACATAACTCAACGGCCTGCAAATCCCACGATGTGATTTGATATCATAGGTATTTGAAATTAAAATATAACCAAAAATGTATGAATAGTGTATGTGCAATAGTTAATTACATAAATCCGCATAATGGGTATGAAATGTATGATGAAAATAACTCGTTAACAACATGTTTCGGTACCATACTAGACACGGTAAAACTATTAATTATCAAACAAAAAATAAAATAATATCTATGCAGCGCAATAGATTTATCCATACTGTATTACTACATACTATAGCACAAACAATTTATGTATTTTAAGTATAGTAAAACTGGTTTTAACTGTAGATATATAAGCAAAAAATATTATAACGTTTTCTCAATAATAATTTTGTACTTTGCTATCATAGCTACTAAATCTACCATCAGTAAAAATTCTAGGATTCTAACAACTATTAAAAAAAAATAATAATAAAGAAATAGTTTTCACCCTTTGAGGGAACGGATTAATAATATATTTTTAGTTTATGACTGCAAACTAGTTGTAGTAAAATAAATTGTCCGGGTAAGAAATTTTCGGAAAGTTAAACGTATAATACCAAATAACAATTGTAATACTAATTTCATTTGATAGTTAGGCTTATATACCAACAATGTAACAAATAATAAAATGATTTCGCTATAACGTATTTTAGTGTACTGTATCGTTCTCTTTGATTAATAATGTCTTTAATAAGTACTTTGCGATTTTGATTTCCACTAAAATGATAACTTCACGTTTGATAATGGCTTTTCTTTTCGATCAGGGCAGAGTGAGGACTGAGCTCAAATATTCCAATACGCCTAACTGTGATTAACATCGCAAGTCTTCATCATTTGAGTGAGGTACATTAAACAACATAAGATCCTATTTTTATGAAATAGTGCAAACAACAAAATAAGGCCATTGCTCGTCCATTTGTTGTTTACTTCAAACGAACTTTAAGAGTTTAGAAAAAATAGATTATTACATTCAAAAGTGAAAATTAGAATTGTATCACTTACGTTACATTTTTCGTGAGCAAAGAAAATTCTAGAAAAAAAAAAAAGCAACTTCGAAAACAATTCGATCCGATTCACGAATTATGTAAAATGATAAATTCGTCGACGAAAGGAAATCTAATCCCCTGAAGTTGTTACACGATATACTTTAACAAGTTTACTTTCAGTTGTATTGTTTTTGCACATGATTTACCTTGAAATCTCCACTGTGTACAGCGGAGTGAAGTGGCACGTTGCCCTCGGCGTCGAAAAACGATATCATTTGATGTCTGGAATTGCCTCTGCTCTCAGCCCATTGCAAAAGCACTTCCATTGTCCGGGATGCTGCGTTTTTTGACGCCTCGTGAATCGGATAATATCCATTATGACACGGTTGTCTGTTGTCCGCGCCCAAATCTCGAATCTGTAATTTAAAAAAAATGAAATCCGTCAAGCCCGATACGTCCTAGGTCGTCAGCTGGGAAACAATAAGCGCCCTTTAAACTCGAACCACCGGGTTATATACTGAAAATATACCAGTTGATGATCTATTTCCAATAAAATATATACTAGCGCTTTTAGCGATTGTCCACGAACTTTCACCGAGTTATCGTTAATAAATAACAACGTGGTTTAAACCAATCAAATTTATATTGGCTCTATGGAAATTCGAGTACCTACTAAATATTTTGATTTTAAATTTATATTATTGAATGTACACTGTACATCATATAAAAATATATATTGTACAATAAATGGAAATTATTAAATTACCTCTACTTTCATGCATTTGTCTATACACATAACTCATAACAAATAAAGTATAACTCAGTGGCGGCTACTATTCAGTAAAAGAGGTACTAGTATCTCCCACAATTTTCAGAGTCACATAACTCATAAAGCCAATTGTGTAACCTAATGTGATTCAGCCCACCTTGAAAAACCGTACATAGCCGTCACTTATTACTATACAAAAAAAAAAATTAATTAAAAACGTTAAATTATATAATTATTATTTATATTCGTTCTACGATAGTTTAATTGTCTACAAGTGGAAAAAGGTACTTATTGGGTCAGCCAATAGGAAAATATACAAGATCAAACCAACAAAACGATAAAATACTCAAAAATATTCATCGAAAATTTCAAATTTGTGTTTCGTTTTTGTGAATCATAACGTAAAACGTTTAGCATGTTCAGTGTAAATACCAGCTGTTGATAATGAATAATTTTAGTGTTTTCGTGTTAATGTTTAGCGTAAAGGACGCTCGTAATATTTTCCAAAAATTATAGTCAAACCTTTAGAGGGAAATTATTGCACCGTTGGTTACGAATCAAAGTATTTTTCCATGTCAAGCATGCTTTGAACATCGAGTATAAGTAACTGAAACCAATTCCATTGGTACGATGACAAAAAGGATATAATATATATTATAATAGGGTGATCCTTAAACAGTAGATTTACGAATTTAAACCTCGACGCCCCTTATAAAGTTTCTTAATACAATAAAAAAAAATCGAAAAATATTAATTTTAAGTCGCACTTCCACAAGGGTTGATACTTACACTAAAGAGTAAGAAAAAAAGTACTTTGAAAATGCATTGATCTGTGCACAAGTGTCAAAATCATATGTTAAATCATATTTTTCGAATTTTTTTTTATCTTATTTTTGTTGTATTTAGAAAAACTTTAGGCGTCGAGGTTAAAATTCGAAAATTGACTTTTTAAGGACCATCCTAATATATATTATATATATGTTGTTATCAATATAACTTTTATGAAATTGAATAAATTAAAGTGCTCACGCTATAAAGTAATATGTTTTTTGAATCGGATCTTCGTCGGAGGAAAATATTAATTTTGGACCTCCGAAACTGGTGACCTGAAAACGCATGGAGAACGGACATTGTCTACACTATACATAATTTATAGTGGATATAGTGTATACATAATACAATGGTTAGAGCTTTTAGAACATTAGTTATCTACAAATAATCATTTGTTTAAAACTATTTTTAAGTAGAAAACCATCAGAATTTTTCTCTAACGTGCTTGATATACAAATCCCATAGGCTTTCTAGTAGCATACACTCTGCGTTACTCACCAGTATACGTGCGCATTCGTCATGATCGTGTATGGCGGCCAAGTGGAGGGCAGTTCTGCCGTGCATACCACCTTGTCCCGTGTCTATTCGGTCTTTGAACTTGCACATTACTTGAAGAACGGCCACTCTGTTCAACTCGACCGCCAAATGTAAGGCTGCTTGTTTTTTATCATTCAAAGCACTCGGATCCGCACCGCTGTTTCAAAGGAAATTATTTTTGAAATGTATCACAACAAGTTTCACGTTGAAAATGATTTCTAGTAATTAGGAATAATAATAACTAATTTAATTCAGTGCTTACCACGAGCTTCGTTGTGGGTTGAATTATAAAGACGGAAAGAGGTACGTGGACACTTTATGATGGGAGAGAACGACGAAGCAGAAAATTTGGTAATGAGTAAATTTCATGACAAAATATAAAAAGAGAAATGCACAAATAAAATTTGTAAGTGATAATTACTGACAACGATGTAAGTATAGCTGGTAAAAGTGCGGGAATTACAGGAATTATCACTTTGAGCGGATTGGTTAAGGAACAGGGTAGTCGATTCCGAGTTATTAGGATTTATGGTAAAGTAAAAAGAAGGAAGGTTTCAACGAGAGAAGCTTAAACTGTAGTGTGGCAAACATATTGTATTTATAATACAATTAGGCTGAAAGTTAGCTAAGTATATTATGTATAATATACTTATGTCTAATGCAGACATAAAATTGTGGTTTGCTAGTTACATTGGGTGAAGAGGCTGACTTAACACTTATAAATTTATTTTTCGCTCGTTTTTTAATTAAAAGTTACCTACGTCGAGTTTGATTCGTAACAGAACTGTACCTAAATCACAAACTTCTGTTAGAAAACGTTAGTATTATTTGGACGAATATGAGTACGGTATATTAACGAAAAAATAATTCAAGGTCAAAAGTCAAAAACTACAACAGCTCCGAAACTTAGTTGCTGAATAATTTTAGTATTATGTCAACCCTCTTCAAAACTATTCAAACATATGCATTTATTTTTATTGTAAACCTTACAGGTTTCACCAATGTTCACTTAATAAGGAAACTATCTTGGAATTGTACATGAATGTAAACCGAAAGCGACGTGGCGTAAAACAAATTGTAAATCAAATGCGCTATACACAAAATATCAACTCAATTATAATAAATCTACTACGTCAATACTCAACCTTGATTTATAAAAATGTCACAAGGTGATCAAAATTTTACTTAACAGTATTTTGTTCTATGAAATAATTGTTTTAGCTAAACTAGTTTTTAAACAAAATTAATAAAGGACGCTTAAGTTTTCCCTCAAATTACTAAATCTTTCTATAACCTTTAAAATCTAAAACAGTTATTTTACAGAAAAAAAACGGAATTTACTTTTTAGTAAAATTGTATTATCTTGTATTCTAAAACATTTTTAAGGTAATTATTTAATGATCAAAAATTGGAATTTAGTATTTGTAATTCTGAACAGTATAAACTTTTTTGATTGATATAACTTCGAATTTGGAGTTCAGACTTCACATATGTTATGTTATCGGTTTTTAACTTTTGCGCATCTATACGATTGCTTAACAAAAACTAATAAAAGAGAAGCAATAATTTGTTTACAGCTCTTACAAGCTATATGAGTTTTGAAGTGCATACAAAATAATGGTAAAATACTAATGTTCAAGTGGTCGTAAAAATGACTTAACTGTCCAAATTTGGACATAAATGCTAAGTACAATTTTATCTATTTCTGCAATCAAAAGTGTACGATTTACGAAAACCCTTGGGTTGAGGAACCAAATGATAATAATATGTTAGTACTTAACCGCGGGTGACTTAAGAACGACTGAAAAGATTTTAATTGTTGTTGGTTGTGAATATAATCGATTCATTCGATTAATTTGAATAATTCAGCTTCGTGCGTCATAGAAAGGTAGTATTAAAAAGCTTATATTATAATAATTTCTTATTAACGATTTTAACTGGAGTTAACCGAACGCGTTGGTAACCCAGTAATATTGCTTTTCTATTATTTGTATTAAATTTCATTTGTATTAAAAAATAACAATATATATTAGTTTTCTGTATTTATTTTTAAATTTTATTATTCAAATATTTATAAATATTTTATCGGTTTATTTTCAAAACGATGGATTTATATTCGAACATTATATTACTGCACAAAACATGACAGCATCTATTTCCAGAAATATTTTTTAGTCGGATAAAAAATAACTATGAGAACCTAATCATCTTAACCCACCCCCCTGGCTCGTAACTTGACTAAATGACGAAAAGTCAGTTATGTTATGTACAATTTTCATATTGTATATTTATATATGTACAATTATTGCAACTAATCAAAACAGGCTTACATAAAGATATAATTATTACTTACTTTTGAAGTAAATATTCTACTGCATCCAGTGAATCGTGTTCAATAGCAATGTGTAGTGGAGTATTTCCACAAGAATCCCTTATGTTTAAATCTGTTTCGAAAACAATTTAAATAAGCTTTTTTTAACAAAATACGAACTTTTTTATAATTTAATGGCAAAAAACTAGCGTATCGTATTTGATTGCTATGTAATGTATTATGCATTTGTTATTTTTATTTATAATTGATATTGTTGCTTTTGATATTATATTTTAATAGTATTTTTGCTTTGTTATTACTTTATTTGATTTATATTTAATTAGTTGTATGAGCTAAGAACACTAGTTTTTATTATAAACTATTTTTAAAACCAAAATATCTTTTAAATTGGTATGCCATTATATTATAATTTGTTTACTGCGTTTTAATTAGCTTTAATTATTATATCATAAGCATAATACTAAATACATAGTACCCAACCCTTATGAAGTACACTAACATTTTCATAATAATTTGACAATTAATTAGTAATTAAATTTGTCTAACACATATTTTTTTTAATCGGTCATTTAAAGAAATATTTATTTACCTCCTCCGTGGTTTCTGATAAACTGCAATATATTCAGCTTATTTCTGGCAGCTGCCTGATGTACAGCTGCTCGACCTTTGGAATCTCTGACTTCCAGACGAGCGGGTTCTGCTATGAAAAGACGATTAAAATCATCTAAATTACCGCTTTCGGCAGCCTGAAAAATGTTGTTATATCTAAATAAACATCTTATAATATAATTTTCAGCTGTATAAAAAAAAATCTTATTAAAAAAATGTTTCCTCCTAACCCACTATTTCATACTCATAATATATCATTATTTCATACTCTTGTTTTGTTATTTACACGCCCTGTTAACTATAACTAGCCAAAGTTAAATTTAATTTTTAAGGCCGCCACAATAAGCTTCTAAGACCTTTTTTTTTTGTACTATACTTTCAAGGCACGTGCTGACAACTTGCAAAGAGTTTTAATAACATTTTTTTGGCCAAACGTGAAACGAATGGTATTAATATCATGTAATGAATATCGTATTAGTATCGATTTTATAAAGTGTCTTTATATATTTTTTCATTTAAATATAATTTTAAAATTTTGACTAAATGTATTTGATATATATATTTTAATTGACGGATAATTACTAACTTTATCGCAGCTAAATTCCGGAAACTTCATTAGCTCTCACTAAAGACAATAAGTCAAATAAAATATATTTATAAAAGATATTAGTTTACCTAAGTTTTTGTCAAATTTAAAGTGTAATTAAAAAAAAAAACCAAAAACTAATAAAACTTTTGTAATTCCAAATTGTATTTTTTAGTTTAAATATTATTAGGGACTTAGATCCTCTAAAACCTTTAGGTAACTTGCGCTTATGTGAAAATGGTATGTTACATTTTGATTTTCTAATTCTTCTATTCAAAATTACAATATAACATCTGTTATAGTTTGTATCTATCAAAAAAACTAATATTAGTTATAAAAATAGTAATATAATTATAGTTATACAATGTAAAGTATTTAATGGAAATTATACACAAATATATCATCACGAATTATAAAATTTAAAAACAAAATTTCGTTTTCTATGTGTTAAAGCTTTTATAGATTGAAATATTATGTGGATAATTTTCGGATGTATCAGTTCTATGCTTATGTTTCGAATACGATGCAGATTTTATCTTCGGAACGATAGTTCCATTTCCGCTGTCGTGACTATACTGACTGGCATGATTTAAATATCCCTGGTTATTGCATGTCTACTCCCTCTTCGTCGAAATTTTGGATGATAAAAATAAAATGGCATCGTAAGGGTCAGCCAATCAAATTCATTTATTTTATAAAAGTATTATGTATATACTTATCAACAAAACAATGATGCAATGCAATATGATAATATTATAATTAAGTTGGGATATGCAATAACCTTGTACCTTTATAAAAGCCACGCTGATTAGCATATTTCCTACCGCTGTTTATGCGTCTCGCATCTTTGAAAGCACCGTGTTATCTCGATCAGGGGGTGCCTACGTGTTCTGTCGTGTAGGTAATAACATGTCGTAACGTGTCATGTCACTTTCTTTATACATTGTGCTGTTTTTTTTTGGCATTCTTTACATATTGCTCTTCATTTTTTGCATCTATAACTTTCATTTGTTTCGACAATGGCTGCTTCTCTGTTGTTTGGTATTGATCGGTTTAATTAGTTTCTTTCTTTTTTCCTGTTGAATAATTGGTTTCCATGTACTGCTCATTTTTCAACCATCTCGTCCACTAAAATTGTTCAATATAGAACATTTTTTAAATTTCTATTGCTTTTTTGAACCTTATTTTTTATGAAGTTAGCTTCTTTGTTTAGTATGAATGTTATGTCCGCTGATTCCGCATGTTTGACTACTACAGATTTGTATATTCTTTTGTAGTCGACATCTATTTAGTGTACTTTTATCCGGTCTCTATTGCTCTCTGTTCAGTATATGATTTGCCAGTCAGTAAAGTCACGACAACGGAACGGTGATTATCGCTCTGAAGATGGATTCTACATTGAGTCCGAAACATCAGAATAAATAAAAGTCTCGAAAAGGTTACTAAAGCTCAACCGAATATGTAATTATAAGACTTTCAAATTTCAGATAAATTTAAAAATTATATTTCAATAATTTCCTTAGTTTTAAGACCTATAGTAGCGCTTCAGTATTTTAATGATAATGATTAATTATTTTTAATGCTAGCAAAAAATATTTAAGTACATGTTATTAAGGGCTTCATTAACGAAAATCATAAGCTTTGTAATCGAATAGCCAGTAACACAATACTTTAACAGTTTTCCATTAGTGTGTAATCAATGGGGCAATTAAACTAATTATAATAATTAATAAAAACATGTTCTAAACGGGTAACATAATATTGTATTTTGTCTTAGACACTACATTTTACACTACAGAATTTACGTTATATTATTTATTTTTTTACTCAGAGTTCCAAATAAAAGTTGTATGATTCCGCTCTGCTTGTATTGCACAATATTCGAGAAGGAATTTCGTACTCTGAAAAAATCAAATTCCTCTTGTGAACTGCACCCTTTGACAATTTTTTTTTATAAAAATAACCTTGCAGACAACAACAAAATACCGCTGTACACCGACTTGTCACAAAATCAAAATCAAATTGATGTCAATAACTAACGAGGTTGTGTCTTCGTTAAAAAATATCACCTCGTTGTTCATGTGGAAATTCATTCCTTTCAAAAATGTATCTGTGCTTCTAACTAAACATAAGACATAGTGTCTGGAAAGGCGAAAGACGCAAAGAATCACAATCGAAACACTTTATTTGTATGCTAATTGACACGAATGTGAACAGAATGCCAAAAATAATGGTGCATACTTAAAAAAATAGTAGAGCAACAAGCTAATTACTAAAAAGTCTACCCCTTGCCGCCATTGACCTTTTTACATAAACCTATGTAATAATTTTGGCTTTAAACTGTACGCAAATTGGTGGTAGAACGTTAAATTATTTTTAGCTTCGATGTTTAATAATTATAATAATACAATATTTAAAATGTTGCTGTGTTATCCTAGAATTCAAAATAATACAGTTCATCCCACAGCCGAACCCCCCTCCCTAGCCATCTTACTGAGTGAGTAATATTTACGAATCAAATTCTAATACCCAAATGTATAATATTAGTAATTTAATAATTTTACAAGAAGCATTTTAAAAACATTAAGCAACTATTATGCTTAACAATTATATTATATTTCATTTTTATCAAACCTCAACAAGATATTTAAAAAAATAACCTAAATTAAAAAATGGCCAAGGACTCGGTGAGTATATTATATATTATTTTTATTAATATTTAAGCTCCAACTTACTAAAAATCCTAGATTTCAACAATATACTCGTTAACTTACTAACAATAAGCTAAACTCTGGCAGAGTATAAAAATGTTTTATTGTATTAATAACAACGGCTGAAGTAAAGAGATTAGACAAGAAATTGCTAAAAGCCGAGCTTAATATAACATGTTCGTAGGTACATACTTTTTTCACGAATATTCTTGGATTACTATAAAAACATAAATATTAAATAAATAAATTGAGAAAATAAATATTTATACAAATCAGAGACCGTTTCTTCAAGGTAAGATTATTACACTGGTTTAAGTTTAATATAAAGTTCTCTGAAATGACAAGTACTATAGTTATGTAAAATGATTTCATCTTCAATCAGCTAACGTTGAAAGTAAGAAATAGAATAAACATGCATTACACAGTAACAAAAACTAAAATAAGCTTGCTTTAATTATTGTGTATTATGATAAACCTCAGGGTAAGTGTACCTAGCCACTGTCTAACTAGTATATGCCTCCATCCTACTTTACTGGCTTAATTAATTAATGGTTTGTATAGTTTTTTTTATAATTTTTACTTCAACTTATGAGAGTACAAAATATAAAAAATGCAGTTTTGACTAATCTAATTTGAATACAAATTGAGTCGTTATATAGTTTTATCAATTAGTATTTTTTTAAAGATAAAAACAGTTATGTTATTACCGCATTTTTGCATTGTTTCCTTTGTAGAAACTATGTTTTGTCGAAGTACTGCAAATTACCGCGGGTAAAACATAAATGTATGAGACATTATTAAATTTATATAAATTAAGTGATTCATTTTGAAACTTAAATATATTTAAGTTTGATAAATACATACTATTTTATAATACTATATTGTAACATCAATTCGAAACTAGAGCCGTTAAATACTAATTTTCTTATGTACTTGCCAATTAGTTTTCCACTTAGTACTTAGTATTTTTAATCATAAATTCTCCTTTTACATGCAAGTTTGTATATGATGGGGATAGACTATGAGTCTTTCAGCTGGGTAAGAATCGAACCGAGGAATTTTCGAACCTAAATCTACACACATAACATAGCCTACTGAGTAACGTGGGTAGGCTAATTAATTATTTTATGTACTAAACCTTTTGTATACCCTAATTAATCACATAAATTACCCAATAAAAACAAAAAACCAAATCAGACCTAAAACGTTCCTTTGGGAAACCGCTTTTCCGGACACGTTAACACAATATAGGTATTGTTTAATAGAAATAATTAAGAGAAAGTTTTCACATATTTGATTATTGACAAAGTTTGGTGTTATTTAGTTTACTTTTTAAATTTGTTTTTAAACATTTATTAGAAAAAATGCTCGACTCGATAACTAATTTTCTTTAACAAATCTAGATAGCCTGTGTACAAATAAATGATACAATTTTCACCCTGTTGTTGGTCATGAAACTAAGTAAAGCTACCACATACGGCATACCTATTTTTACAACTTTAAAATAGTATATTTACTACATTTAAATTTTTCTCACAATCGTACAAGTTTTTTAAATAATGTCTTCCATTCAAAATAATACAAGAATTTGAAGGTTAAAAAAACTTAGATTTTGTATTTAACCAGTAAATACCTATTCCCAAACCAATTTTAAAGTCTATATTTATTAATATGTTTATTGTTCTAAAACACAAGTAAATTTGAATTTGGAACTAAAAACTAATATTTATTACTTTTGATCTTTATTAAAATATTGGGTCCTATTAAATTTTAGCGGTTATTTCAACTATATTACTTGTCTTTTTCGGATTTAACAGCTCATGCGGGAATTATTATCAATATTTAGTATTTAATATAATAGACCTAATTTTCGAACACGATATTACGTTTCAATATAATTTTGTATAATATTATTATTTTGGCACTTTTCCAATATTCTGTATTCGTTCTCCTAAAACATCACATGTCATACAAAATAAAAAGGAGGTACAGCTAAACGCGATTAAACCGTCCCAGCTGTTGTATGAGATATAATTGAAATGCTTGCTTACCTTGACTAGTAATTCTGCAGACAGTGTATTTACCACCTCGAATCCGTAGAACAATTTACGCCAGTTTCGCATTGCTTTCCAGGGTGCCATCGTGTCTATACGAGTGTTGGTGAAAATAGCTAACACTAAGCAACAAGTATACGTCTGACTAACGAACAACTAGTTTAAGTGCGGTAATGCATGTTTTGTGAACATATTTTGACTGGCCAATGTATAAAAGATAATTCGAAAAATACTATTGACAACACATTACAGGTGACTAAAGGCATAAATTACTTTTAAATAATACATCAAATCTTTGAAAAAATGGTAGCTTTTTTTTTATTAGTCGTAAACGACAAAAGCGCTTTTTGGTTGGAGAGAATACAAACAGAATATAAATAAAGAGGTAAACAAGTATTTTTTTTTTACATTCGTTGAAAAATGTACAAAAACTACTTGTAAGTATGGACGTTATTTTAGTTCGAGCGATTTTTAATAAAATAACGGGGTTGTCTGAAACTTAGCAAGACCGTTCTATCATAGGTACGCGGTAGAACTAAGACAGCCCAAGGTGAGTAAAATGTGCACGACGGTTCAGTTACCATAACGACGTCTGGGTGCGTTACCCGAATATAATAATCGAACTTGAAAAAAACTTGATCATATAACTTTTACTTAAAATTACCTACCCTATATTACTCATTGTTTGCTTTTGTGCACTGAAAATGACATTTGCGGCATAGCGGCATATATAGAGTTTTTCTAAAGGAAGGATGGGCTAAAAATAATTGTTGTCAGTGAACTCTATTTTGAATATTTTTAACGACTCAAACACAATGTAGCAGTGACAATAAAATATTGTGAAAATAAATATTTTTGACTATGTCTTACAATTTATACATTTATATTTATTTTTTGTTACAATTTATAGACAAAAAAATATTAATAAAAGTCGAAACCCAAATGTGAGTGTTACTTATGATTTTTTCCAACCCCACCCTCTTAAAACAAATGAAAAGTGAAGAAATCTAGAAAAGTCAAAATCAAGTAGGATATAACTGAGGCGTTATTGTTGTGTAAATAATTTAATATAGTTATGCATGCATTGTAGACGCTATAATACTTAAATTCCTATGAACGCTCTTACTCAACTGAAATAACCATAACTGTATATAGTAAAAATTGGGTGCGTGATTTTATTATTGTAAAAGAACAGACAATAAGAAAAAGTAATAATAACAGACAACGCTATGTTATATGTACTAGATTATACTGAAGCTTCTAGAGCTGTCGTGTTTTTGAGACCTAAACTCGCTTAAACAAATTAAATTACTTCCAATCGATTAAGTGGGTTACTCGCAGAATTAATACATTTTAATGTAAATAGAAGTTAAATTATATAAACTTTAATAAAAATGTAAATGTATGAATTATATTTACAAAATTATTCTTAGTTGCCAATGGCCACCCAGAAAAGTTTTTAATAAAATAATTCCTATAGTTCTACCATTACTTAACCTAATTTATCCAGAATACATAGGCGCAATTTCAATTTTTAACTCGGGGAGGGGGGGCTGGAAATTGTTTTTTAAATATTTGTATAAGTAAACATATTTTTGTATTTTAAAATTGTATGCATAACCTAATTTTTTTGATAGGGCTAAGCCCACCCTAACCCCCGTATTTGCAGATTTGATTGTTCATGCATACTGTTAACAACACACATAGGAGTAACGAAATTTGTAAGCGAACTTTTGTAACAAAATCAAAAAAAGTACAGAATTAGAAGTTGTTGAGTGACAGACCTAAAGTTAGTTTGTTAATAGTTTATACTTGTTACTTACTACTAATTACAAGTCGTGATTTCTTATTTCTAGACGAACTTTTTATGAATAACCTTAGACTTGACTTAACAAGATACGTTCGAATGACTGAATATATTTCTGGTGTACGCTTTATATATTTTATTTACACTTATCAGATTTCCTAAATACTCATAAAAACGTTATTAATAAATTTAATTAAATATTTCATTAAACGTTTAAATAGCAATCCATAATTTATTAAGTCATCAATTACATGATCCACGCTAAAATAAACGTGACATCTTAAAAACCTTTGATTTACAAATAATGTTGCCACTTTTAATTGAAATTTCAACAGGATTTTGAAGGTTAAAATTTTATTATAAACCTTTTAGAAATGAATTTCATTGATAAAAATAACGACTATTATTTTATTTATACATTTTCAAAATAATATTATTTTATATATTTTAGGTTTTTTCTTAAATATATTCTATATACAAACAACAAACGTATACAACGTTGCTAAATAATAATCAGTCGCATCTTAAGGGAATTAAATCCATTTAAAGAAAACAAATATTTAAATAAAGCAATTTTTAGTTATTATGGATTTAAAGATAACACCTATATTTACGTACCTATATTTGTCTACTTTTAAATAGTTTTCATTCTCCCATTTTGAATAACTCTTACATGTTAAAATATGACAGACATAATCATAATTAAAAGTTAACCCGTATTTTTATTATTATATAGCAGTAACGTAGCCAAAAATGTATTTCAGGCGGAACACGTAATATTGTAGATGACATTTACTAAATAGAGTTCTATTTTTGGGAAAAATGAAATTTTCTAGCTCATATATATATACCTTGACCATGATATCGTTCATTTGGAATTTATTTCAAAATTATGTATTTTTGAAAAAATATTGTGTATTTCTTTATGAATTAGTGGAAGGATTTTGGGGAAGGCCGATGGGAGTACGGCGTACGTGTACCCCCTCCAATTTCGAAACTGGTATATAGTAAGCATTTGGTAATATATTAATTATTTTATTCTATCGCCTTACTGATTTCATAGCAATACATTCCAGAAAAAAAAATTTGTATGTAATATTTGTATTGAATATTATGTAACCATTTTCAATTTTTATACTTACTCTTAGTATTCTATAAGGACTGTCTGTCAATAGACAAACATCTCCATCCACGGTTGAACTTTGACGGAAAATATGTGGCGCCAAACAAAGTTTTTCACTGGATGTCAATACGCGAGTAGTTCCTCCTAATTTACTTTCGTGTATTCTTCTCATCTGGATCAATTGCCATAATCGATTTCTCTAAAGTCCCAACAATAGACCAGCAGTTTAGAACTTAATACGAATTATAATGTATTTAATTAAATAATAATACATGAATAATGAATCGAATTGTTACATAGAATCATTAAAAGTTATTGAAATTAAATGTCTATATAATGTTCATCTTCCACTTTCAAGTTTATCGATCGAGTAAATTAATATATTAGTGTTGCATGCTATATTTGTTTAACTCGATATGCGTTTTAATTTGTATGTATTTCAATGCATGTCTAATCAGTCAAAAACATATATATAACATCCAAAACTAGAGGTAATCATTGTTATTTAACTTGCATGTAATCGCATTAAAAATATATATATAACATCCAAAACTAAAGGTAATCATTGTTATTTATCTTGCATGTAATCGCATGTATGTATTACCCAAGGGACATAAAAAAATCAACTTATCGAAATGTACATTAGTATGACATCTATATGGTTTTATTTAAAGTATGTTAACAATCATAGATGGTAGTTGTCGATTTTAATCATGTCAAAAACACTATAACATTGGTGAACTACATTTTTACCCAACTGCAGACGAAGGAGAGTAATTAGTATATTTTTAGGTAAACATTTTTAGATTATTCGTTTAGAATAAATTAAAAGTAAAAATAATTTCAAATATAAAATCAAAATACGGTTTTGAGTTAAGTCAGAACATCGCTCAGGAATTTTAAATGTAATAAAAGGGATCAGTTTTAACAAACGATAAATAGTTCACGATTTTACAACCTACCCACATTAGTTTAGAAAAATCACAAAACGATAAAAAAATAGTCAACAAATAATATTTTAGTGTTTAGTGATAATAGGAAACAACTTGTCTAGTACATCTTAAGTACCCGTTCGCCCATAACGCCGTCATTTAAAAGTAATTGGCGAGCGGCCTCAAAATAAACTGAACGGCTTAAACATAATGTTACAACTTACATCTTTCAGTTAATTAATTTAAAGTTTTTTTAGTTGTACAAAGATGTTTCTCAATTATTATCGTTTCTAATTTCTACAACACTTCACTCTTTTTTAGATAATTCAATTTAAAAGATGAACAAAGTAAAAGGTGAATCCTTATTATCTACTCGATTATGTAATACTTCCATTTCGTATTATTGGAAATATAAGACAAAATAAATAATAAATCAAATTGTTTATTATTGAATTATATTATTAAAAAATGACTTTAATAAATATCGAGTACGACTAAGGAAAATAGTTTATTCAAAGGCCAAAAATAAAAAGTGCTTTAATAAGCCACGTGGAAGTAAATAATTTTATTTTAATCTCAAATTTCGATCTTTAAATTTCGAGGCTATTCAAAGATGAAAACTAACAATGGGCCGTTTGTTTTCAATTTTTAGAAGAAACACAATACTTTTTAATTTTAAAGAAAATCTATTGGAAATAGGAACTGAGCGGACTGGGTTATATTTCAATATAATATGTTATTTTACTAAAACTGTCCCACACCCACTTAACACTCAATTTTCTAACGCCAAATATAATAATTATAATTTTGAAACCGAGCGTTAAGCGTTTCTGAATAAAAAAATGTCATGCTTTTTACTATTCTAACTTTAAAACATTTTTTAATCAATCGTCATTACTTTGAATTCTTTTGCTCACCATAGCCGATTCCGGAAATAGAAAATAAAAGCAAATAAAAGTAAAATCCACATAACGGTGACACGGCAGCCGCACAATAATTGTGTTCAGTATTTATTAACTGCATACAGACAAACAATGTGACACGACATTCTATTAAGTATCTAAGAAGTGGGAACTTACTTAGATAGATGACTCCCATGAGGAACCTACATAAAAATAAAATGGATAGCTCTGAAACTAAAACTTTATTAAGTGCGACACTTATTGAAATCCGGGCTATCGTTGTTAATATAAATATCTATATATACCTATATAATATATGTGTACCTACACATTTTAATTGCACTATTTTTTTGGAAAGGTATTTTTTAGATAAAACTCTACCGATCTACAATCAAAACCCAAAACACTATTATTAATTAAACTAAGTGTTACGATTAGACAAAACTAGTTGTGAAAACTCTTATCAAGGTCAAAATGTTTAAGGTAAGTTTGACTGATACCAATAAAATCAAGTGTTCAAACATAAAATTGTCAAAACTTCTTCAATTTTAATTTTTAAACATAATGATTTTTAAGTTGCTTAAATTATTTAAACGATTTTTAAGTTAAATATCGTTTTTTTTTTTGTGAAATCCGGATTATCGAATTCCCGTCACTAACGTACATACGGACAGAATACCAAGTTATTCTATTTTTGATTATGATTTATATTATGGGCTTATACTCTTATCACCATCCTGAGATT